GAAAGAATGAAAAAAGAGAGTAGTCGCAGCGACGGGAAAAGTCAAACGAAAGCAACAGCGGGCCATCCATTAAACGCCCTCTGTATTTGTATACCTCTTCTCCTCCTACAAAAACGAGCTCGTCTCCCGACGACGGCCGCTGCTGCCACCGCCTGCGCCCGTGCCGTCGTGCCCCAGCTCCGACACCTGCGGGTCCGCGCCGTCCTGGCCGTCGTCGCAATCGTCCTCTTCTTCAAACTCCTCGTCGTCGTCAAAGTCGTCGTCGTCGTCATCGTCCAAGTCATTCTTGACATCGTTTTCATCGGAATGACCGCGCTTGCCGGCAGGCTGCGTGGCAGCACCGGCACCGGGGCCGGCCCGCGCAGCCGTCGCTGGGGCCGTGGCGTCCTTGATCATCGCCTCCACGCCGACCGCCACGGCCTCGATGGGCGCCCCGCGCTCCTCGTAGTCGACCATGCTATCGTCCTCGACGCTGTGCGCGCCCAGGCCTACAGGCTTGCTGTCGTCGTAGAGGTCGTCGCCATCCTCTCCCTCGTCGTCCCCCTCGGCCTCTTCGTCATCGTCGCTCTCGCTCTCGCTCTCACTCTCGCTGGCGTCAAACGACAGGGTGCCCATCATGGGCACGTTGATGCGCGCCAGCTGGCTCTTGATCAGGTTGTCGGCCACATTGTACAACCGCGTGTCGTTGTCCGACAGCGTGTCGCGGTCAATGTCAAAGGCGACCTCGTCCGGGTCGGCCGGGCGGTCGCGTGCGCCGGGCGTGTTGGGCGATACAGCGTCGTCCAACTCGGGCACCTGGAGCACCCACTTGCGGACGGCCTCGCCCTTGGTCACAGGGCGTCCGGTGCGACCAGCAGCACTCGAGCGGCGTGCTCTGCGGCCGCCACCCTCTGCGACTCTGATTTTGTTGTCCTCGCCCGCTGCCTTGGCTGCCAGGCCCCGACGAAACTGCCGCTTTTTCCGCCGCCGCCGCCGCTGGATGCGGTCGCGGATGTACCAGGCGACCACCAGCATGGCCGCCTGCGTCATCTCTTGGCTCTTTTGGCGCTGCATGTTGGCCCACGCCAGGTACCGCTGGTGCTGGAGGTTGGCGACGGCCTGGCACCGTTGGTGGTAGTAGGCGGCGATACGGGATGCGATGGCCAGGTAGTGCGGGTCGGACGCCGACAAGGTCCCACCCTCGGACGACGCCGCTGCTACTGCTTCTGCTGTTGGTCTTGTGGAAGCCGCTCCTGTCGTGGTAGCTCCCGACGTGACTGGACGATGTGTTGCCGTTATCGATGGAGAGGCAGTTGTTGTCGTTACCGTTGAAGTTGGCGGTGCCGTTGTTTGTTCCACCTTGATACCCCCTTGCTGACCGCTCTGTTGCCGCTGCACTAGTGACGGCAGTGGTGGCTGCGGTGGTGGAAATGCGTGCTTTGGGCCTCCATTCATACCGGCGTTCACGGTGCCCGGCACCGACCGCTGGCTCGCCGTCATCTCGCTTTGGGGACCTACGCCCTTGAGGCTGCCGGCAACGCCACCGGGTCCACCGCTGAGACTGTTGCCGAGAAGGCCGTTGCCATGTCCGTACGTTTCCCGCGTAAAAGATTTGAGCAGAGTTGGTGAGAGTGGTGTCGGTCCCCCGGGGAGTGAAAATGACTGGTAATCAGGAGGTGGAGTCAGAGGGATCTGAGGACCGAAAGGAAAGGGCAGCGACGGCATGGACGCAGCCATGGTATTGAATTCGAATGAGGTCGCCGTATACCAAATGGACGTATTCTGTGTCTCGTGTAGGAGCAGACGTCACCCTTTCCATAGGTTTGTGAAGTGATTTGGATATAGAGACCTCACAGCCGCTTGGATGATTGCCAGGTGTTTACTGTGGCCTCCTGGCTAGTGTAGATATCAATTTTGTTTTGTGGTCCGGTTATGGCCTGTGTTAGTTTTGCACTTTATATCGTACTGGTTAAAACAGCTTCATCAATATTTGGACCGCCCAGTATGACGAGACCACGGGATGAGTTGCTGCGGTGTTGCTAGTTTTGTTAAAAATAAACAGCGTGAATATGTGCAAGAAAGGAGGATATGAGCATCGAGAATGGTGAGCGAGCGAGTATCAGGAAATGGAAAATGGGAAGCAGGATAGAACGAGAGTTGGTATGGGGAGTAGACGAGGGGGGGAGGGGGGGAGAGACATGAACAGGGTGTCTGACAAGTATGAAGGCTGGACAGAAATGGTCTTATAATGTGTGTGCCTGTGTGTTCCGTGTCTTCCGTATGTTCCGTGTGTTTCGGTGTGTGTGCTTCTGTGCCTGTGCCTGTGCCCGTGCCTCTGTGTGTGCGTCTCCTCCTTCGCTGTGGTCATCAGCAGCTAGTGGTTATGTGGTGACATCAGCACCGGGCATCTAGGATATTGGATGGCTTCATGATGGTCAGGTGTGGCAATACCCTGGAAACTCGAGCTGGTTGTGAAGACGGGCAGATCAGCATAACGCACAGGAGAAGGAAAAGGAGACGACGGCGGCGGAGGAGCAGGTCGACACTCCGGGAAAGCTGTCATCGATTGTGGTGTGAAGCACTGTCTGTTTACACTCGATCCACTTTTGTGAGATCACCTCCCAACAGTATCAAGGCCAGAGGGTGCCTCGGGAGCATCTTGTTGAGCTGAAAGCATCTGTCGATTGGTACTTGGCGAGTGCGAGGCCAAGTTGGCCAGAGGGGGCGCAGCGAATAACGGGATGCGTGACAGACGACAAGACAAGCGGAATGGCCTGAGCCGCCGTTGGGTTAGCCCGCGGGCCTGAATTGGTCGATGCTGGAGCTAGACGGAAAGAGGCACTGGGGTTGGGACATGGGAGTGACTGACAAGAATGAAAGTACGATATGTGTCATATACCCTGTCATGTAAGGAGATTCATATACATACTGTACTCTCATGTGCATCAGCACACACACCATGTACCTGAAGGCCGCGTGCCCTTGCTTTTGTCTGAATCTCAAAATACTTTTGACCATCCCATGCTCCCCTGCGGCCATGTCAGCCCTCTTTGGCTTATGCACAGCGCCCTGCAGGGCACACGAGCTGCTCTAATGGGTATTTGTCTTCCGGGACTCTGGCTTTTTTTTTGATTCGTCTTGTCAGTTATCACATTGAAGAGACATTCCTCCGTAGACAGGGAGCAAAACAGCCTAGGAACCGGTGTGTCGGACTAATGAGCGGTTCGACGGGAGCTAGTCGGCGAAGAAATGGTGCCACTTTTGGTTCGTGTCATGCCAGTGTTTGGGGTCTATGGGCAGAGCGAGAGCTTCCAGCCTCATCCAGCCAAGTCTGACAAACACGAGCCTGACCCGCCCCAATTGGGATGTGGGAATGTGGGATGCTGGCAGGCGAGAACGAGGGCAAAGGCAGCGGATTTGCAAAACATGCTGACGTTGAAGATTCAGAAAACGGAAGACCCTTGCGTCGAGTCGCGTGGGTTCTGAGGCCGTGTTAGTAGCCGTTAGATTAAATACCACATGGAAAACACGCCTTTCTTTGCTGACCTGACACACCCTGCATTTAAGAAGCCACGCATTCCTGGTCTACTTCTCGATGGATTTGATTTCTCGTCTGATATTTGTCACTAGATTTGCACGTCCCTTTGCCTCCGTTGTGGATAGGACAGTCTGTTGAGCCGCGCGGGCGGTACGTATGCTGTGTTTGTTACAGTCTGAAGTTTTGTGCGCGCGTGTTACGGAGCATAAAGCCCGAGGAGTACGCCCGAGGAGCACGCGTGTGCTGCAGTTTGTGGTACTGAGCACCAGCATTCGTAAAATGTCGCGATGTCGACGTTGGTGAAGAATGTGGAAGCACGTGCCCGTTGTGGCCAACTCTTGCCAAAAAGGGAAGCCGTGTTCACACAAAACTCACGGACAAGGAAAGTGCAACCGTCCCCCGTACCAAGCCCCTGGTTATCACGCTCCGAGTCCGTCGCACCTGCCTTCTGATCCGCGCACCTAAAGTGCATCTACAGATTCTTCAGATATCGAGTAACGGACGCTCGCCATTTTCTGCCTTTGTGTTTACATCGAGTCTGTCCAAGTTGGCTTGCAGGGCGTTGTGAACAGGCCACTGTTTGGGAGTGGCGTGCTCTTTGCCCAAAAATAGCAGTCGTTCTTGCCATCCGTGCTAGCGCCAAACATGCACGGTCTCCGGCACTGTAGAAAGGCGCCAGGGGGAAGGCGCCAGGGGGGCACACGCCAACTTCCAGCCTCGGCCGCGCCTCGTCGAAGCTGAACTGCCAAAATTACGGCAAACAAACGATGCCGAGTTGAAAACGTAAACATCCGGCCATAATAGCACCCATTGTCCCGGCCACCACGAAGCACGACTCCAGACCGATTGTCTGTTGGCACCAGGACGTTTTGCTTTGCCCCTTTAGCTAAATGGGCTGCTAGCTTTGACTGTCCGGTTGGGCGCTTCGCACTGCGACCTTGGTACATCTTGACATCGCGAGATCACGCTGTGGGTGCCACTGGCCTGTCCATCACCGCGAGGACGGTCGGGACAATATTTGTTTCCCGAATCTGTTGCCACAACCGTCTGGGCTGCCCTGATTGCGGCGTTTTGTGGACCCGAGGTCGCGTGTTGACAGGTAGCGTCCCGGTCGTTGTTGACTTTGTCCACGCCTTTGCTAGTTTTGTCTTTTTTGATGTTCTCCTTGCTTTATCTCCCCACCCACGGGTCATCCTCCGCTCGCTCCCGACGTCCAGCCCTGCGCTGATCTCCTTTTGTGGCTCCCTCCACAGCTCATATCTGGATATAGTCAGACTCGTTTGGGAGAGGCAACCAGCCCACATGAGATACACGAGGCATGCGGCTGTGCTCCATCTACCAGCGGCCATGGCAGCTCCAGCAACGTCATCGCCAGCATGCGCGCCTTATTTGTGCTCGGAGAGAGGCAGACCCGACTAGCCTGTCTCCAAACGGTCTGCGCTGCAGAGCAATATGTTTCTCGACGGCAGCGATTCCCGAAACCATGACGACAACAGCTCGATCATTATGCTCACAACGACGACCGTCGGCGTCGCCAGCGGCTCGTTTTGCTGCTTCTCCTGTCTACCGAGGGTCCCTACAGTCCGATCCCAGGCCCCAATGCCAGACGAGGGGCAAGAAAACCAGGACCGTCGTGCGTTTCGAAGACCTGCCGCAGGGCATCGTTTTGCCCGCCGCACCAATTGGGGCAAACGAACGTGGCACCAGTGCTAGCAATGTTAGTAATTCGAATGCCGGCGAGGACAGCCAGTCCAGCGAGACCCCCAGTTCGGGCCCAGACACGGGTGGCCCTGCGTACCCAACGGTCATTCTGCAGGCCCGCCGCAACATGCACAAGTTTGCCAACTGCGTGCTGCTGACCCGCGTGGGCGGCTTCTACGAGCTGTACTTTGAGCATGCGCAAGAATACGGGCCGCTTCTGAACATCAAGGTGGCCTCCAAGAAGACAAACGCAGGCCCTGTGCCTATGGTATGTCTTTCTCCTCCCTCCTCTGACTTTCTCTTGCGCCTTGTCCCAACTCGTCACTCTTTTTGCGCCCTCTTTCCCTCGCATCTTTGGCCATCTCGTATCATGTATCGTATCATCCTGCCCTGTCTTACAACGCTCTGGACAATCCCAACAGCAGAGATCCATCTCACGCAGGCACTCCTTGTCCTGATGTACAATCAACCGGCTGCGTTGGTATTGCATCCTTTGTCTGGGCGGCCTTGCTCCTGTTTTTACTTTGTCCCGCACCACCCTCCTTTTCTCGTCGTATTTCTCCATTTTGTCGTTCGGTTTTCCTGATATGATCGCCACCAATAGTTGTCATATCCACTCTCCACGGCCCGCGCACACTGTCTTTGCCTTTTCCCTCTGCTACTGTTTTTTTGTCATCAAGTGTTCCGTTATAACATTCGATGTTGATTCCATGTCACACCCACCATCCTTTGCGTCTTTGGTTCTATTTTCGTTTCGTTGGCGGTCTCCTTGACATCCCGTCTCTAATCATATCCGCAGGCAGGCTTCCCCTTCTTTCAGCTGGACCGCTTCCTCAAGGTCCTCGTCCACGACCTCAACCGCTATGTAGCCATAGCCGAGGAGTTTCCCAACTCAGCCGCCGACAAGGTCAAGTCGGGCGGTCTGATGCATGACCGCCGTGTGGCGCGAATTGTCACGCCGGGCACGCTCATCGATGAGAATTTTATGGACCCCTACACAAACAACTATGTGATGGCCATCCACGTCGATGCGGTGGATAGTGTCAGTGCCAGCATTAGTGCTGATGCTGGTGCAGGTGCTCCTGTCAATGTCCGTACTGGTACGAGTGTCCGGCCGTACGACGGTGATGCCACTTTGTCAGCCCCGTCTGCAGCCCAATCTCCACTCTCCCTCCTGTCACAGGGGACCCTGACGGCTGCGCCCCTAGCGTCTGCATCGCCCAGTTTGTCGTCCGTGGCCCTTGGCTTGGCCTGGTTGGACCTCTCGACCGGCCACTTTTATACCCAACCTACGAACCTGGCTGCCCTGAGTTCGGCCCTGTCACGTGTAGCACCCCGGGAGATTGTTTTGGACGAGAGGCTACAGCTGCTGCGGCGTCATGGTCACAGTGACAGTGACAGTGGGAGTGGGAGTCCAGTCCACCCGCTATTTTCAATTATAGACGAGGACCGCACTCAGCAGCAGCAGCAGTTGATCACGTATGCCTCGGCACCGCCAATAGCGGCTGAAGAAGCCGGAAGCGAAGCTAGCCATGACCGGTCTGCACTGCTGTCGGAATGGAAGCCGGTGCTGGAGTCGGAGATCTCGGCTCAGACCGCAAAGGACTTGACGGGCGATGAAATTTCTGCCGGCAGTTTGTTGCTGCACTATGTCAAAGACCGGTTGCAAGGCTTGTCCATGAAGCTGCAGCCGCCCGTGCGCTATGAGGGCATGCAGGTCATGACCATTGATAAGAACAGTATGCGCTCTCTCGAGATCAAGCAGACTGTGCGTGACGGCTTCTTCCGCGGCAGCCTGCTGCATGCCATTCGCCGGACGGTGACAAAGAGCGGCGCCCGTCTTCTCAACGAGTGGCTCAGTGCCCCCTCTACTTCTTTGGATGTCATCGTAGCACGACAGACTCTCGTGTCGCGCTTCGTCCAGGACGAAGACCTCCGCGACGGCATCACGCAGCTGCTCCGCCGCAGCCACGACTCGCACCGCCTCGTCCAAAAGTTTGCCCTCGGCCGCGGCGACCCGGACGATCTCCTCGATCTGGCCAAGACCATTACGGCCACGGACGACATTGTCGGCCTGCTGCGGCACGCGCAGCGCATCCACAAGGACGCCGTCGATGAAGAGACGGAAGAGAGCCTCGAGGCCATTGCCGGGCGCATCCAGCTCGAGCGGCCGCTAGCGATTGCCAGACGCATCCGCGACTCGGTTGACGAAGAGGGCCTTATTCACCAGCATGAAATGGACGAGAACGAGGCTGACGCCATGATGTCTCTGGCTGAGGAGGTCGTCCAAGCGGAGGGCTCTCTGCAAGAAGACGGGTCCGTTTTGCGGCGCAAGGGCAAGGATGCCAAAGCAGCCGCCGCAGCAGCCGCAGCTTCCGAGGCAGCATTAAGTGGAACAAAAGCCACGGCCACAACGAGACGGAATAAGAACGCGTCCATCCGCGATTACTACGGCGAGGACAACGAGGCGTGGGTGATGAAGCCGTCTGCTAGTAAGAGTTTAAAGATGCTCCATGCACAGCTCGCCGACCTCACGCGCGACCGCGAAACCCTGACGGACGAGCTGCGCACACGTCTTGAGGCGCCCAGTCTGGTCCTCAAGTGGACACCCGGCTTGGGCCACATCTGTCACGTTCGCGGCCGCGACGCCAAACGTGGACGGCCCAAGAAGGAGGAGGACGGGCCCACGACCATCTCATCAAGCCGCACGACGCGGTCGTTGCATGTGCCCGAGTGGACGTCGCTGGGCCAGAAGCTCGACCAAGTACGCTTCCACATCCGTGCTGAAGAGCAGCGCGTCTTCCATGATCTGCGCGCGGCCGTCGTACGGAGTCTCGTGCCCCTGCGCCGCAATGCCGCTGTCCTCGACGAGCTCGACATTGCCACCTCATTTGCGCGGCTCGCCCTCGAGCAGAACCTCTGCCGCCCGTGCCTGCACCGCGGCACGTCCACGGCCATTGTCGGCGGCCGCCACGCCACCGTCGAGGGTGGCCTGACGGAGCAAGGTCGCACATTTACACGGAACGATCTCATGCTGGGCGACGGGGCCGAAGGCGGTGCCTCGCGCATCTGGCTCATCACGGGGCCCAACATGGCCGGCAAGTCGACGTTCCTCCGGCAAAACGCCCTCATCACCATTCTCGCGCAGATCGGCTGCTACGTGCCGGCGGACTACGCCGACCTCGGCCTCGTGGATGCTCTCTTTAGTCGTGTCGGCTCGGCCGACAACCTGTTCCGCGACCAGAGCACATTCATGGTCGAGATGCTCGAGACCGCGCACATTCTGCGCCAGGCCACGCCGCGCAGCTTTGTCATCATGGATGAGATCGGCCGCGGCACGACGCCCGAGGACGGCACCGCCGTGGCCTATGCGGCGCTGCACCACCTGGTGCACGTCAACAAGTGCCGGGGCTTGTTCGCGACGCATTTCCACGGGCTGGCCGACCTGGCGGCCGCGGACGGCATCGCCGCTACCGCCGCAGACGCCAACGCAGACGCCAACGCAGACACGGCCATGCCATGCTCGTTCCCCGTCGAGCTGTACTGCACAGACGTGGAAGAGGACGGTGCGGGGGGGTTCGTCTACGTGCACCGGCTGCGCAAGGGCATCAACCGGCAGAGCCACGCGCTCAAGGTGGCACGTCTGGCCGGGCTGCCAGATCAGGCGATCCAGATCGCACAGCGTGTGCTGGCCAAGAGCGGTGTGCCTGCACAGGGGTCGTAGGATGAATAAAGGAATGGGATTTACGGACAGGAAGGTAAAATCAATAGAGGCTCATGTATGGGCTACGGCATGACTGATTTGAGTTGGGGTTTGGTTACGCATTTACATTTGTTGGATGATGAAAGTCGTGCACGCATTGAGTGTCCTGTTCTATTCCAAATGTTAGTCATTTGATACCTTCGAGGTGTAGATATACATGGCAAATCATTTTTTGTTTCAAAAACAGAATATCCATCAACCAACAGCACCCGAGGAGCATGTTACGTGTCTCATAAAAGTGATGGGTGTCTTCAGAAGTAAGACTTCAGGGTTAAAAAGCTCGTTGAATGTTGTTTTGGTTCTAATCCTCGACAGAGCTCCCCGGTACGGCCGTGGCAGGATATGATAAAAGAGGGGAATAACGGGAGGAAGATAAATGCGCTTACCGATTGGGTTGAAGAGAATAAAGTGTTTTTGCTGCTGCTGTCACATACACGCAAAATGTCACAGAAGAGAGCCATGGGAACAAAAGTTGGTTGAGGTTTCAATATTTTCGGATTTTTTATATTCGGGGATATAAAGTAGCTTTTTTGTTGGTGGACAACAAAGGCCCAACGCCTAGAAACACTGACCCTCGACAGTATCAGAATCCAGGAGGATGGTGTGGCATTTAGTCGCTGGAAACAGGTTAGCAGTGGGTTCAAACAGATCAACCGGCACGACGTCACGAAGCAGGGGGGGAGGGGACATACAAAAGACCGCCGAAACCGCCGTCGGAGTCGGACTCCTCGGCCTCCTCCTCCTTCTCCTCGGCAGCAGCCTCCGCCTTGGTCTCCTCGGCCGCGGCGACAGGGGCCGCAGCGGCGTAGGCCTCGGGGTTGGCGATGCGGTCCTTGAGCTGCTCAATCTCGGGCCACGAGATCTCGGTCTCGATGGCAATGGCCAGGACGTTCTTGTACGAGTTGACCAGCGAGTGCAGGACAGAGGGCAGGGTGGGGAAGTTGATGGCAAGCGAGACGCAGGCAATCGTGGTGATGGCCGACGAGAAGGCGCCGAGCAGCTGCTCCTCACCAATGTCGAGGACGTCGGGGGAGAAGGTGTTGCCCTGGTCGTAGACCTGGGCAATGCCCATGCCGTAGGTGAAGGGCGAGATGTTGAGCATGTTCAGCAGGGTGGCCTCGGAGGGGCCGACCTTGTTGCCGCTCTCGACGAGCTTGAGGTCCGTGGTGATCTCAATGGTACCACGGGCAATCTTGGTGGGGACACCGAGGGCCTGGAAGAAGGAGGTCTTGCCAGGCTCCATGCCGGTGTTGCCGGCGGGGACCCACACATCGACCGGAGCGATGGCGCCGGCACGGGCAGGGGCCGCGACCTTGTTGACGAGGATCTTGTCGCGGATGGTCTTGAGGTCGCCGTTGGTGAAGACGAAGCCGATGTTGCCCTTGACGAAGGGCAGCAGGCGCTCGTACTCGGGGGTGTCGTTGACAAAGGTCTTGAGGGCACGGCGCACCATGGTGTTCTTGCCCATCAGGACCACGCCCTCGCCGCGGAGCGACTGGCGGATCTCGTGCATCTGCTGCGAGCTGACATTGTCGACGCTGACGATGAAGATGGACTGGTACGTCTCGAGCAAGCCCTTGAGCTTGTCGAAGTAGCCAGCCTTGTTTGCCGATTTGCCCCCCATATCTTCTTTTGTTACGAAGGCAGGATGTTTAAGGGCAAATGAAATGTATTGTTCGTGGAAGGGGACGGAGGGTCGGTGGTGGTGGAAAGTGGTGATGATGAAGCTTTCCAAGATTTTTTTCAGGACGCCAGCCGCGCCTTCTCGAGATGGTATTCCACCCCCCCAGCCTGCGCCTGCAGTCCCAAGCTGCTGCGGAAAAAATTATCGGTCGGCGCTAGTAATATTTTTCCTGTGGGATTTCTATGTAGGGCTTGCTAGCTTCCAGATAGGGTTAGTGCATTGTATTATGTCATCTTTTGAACTAGTCACATGGTATTTCACGTGGACCTTTTAAATGTGGGCCCTGCCAGTAGCTCTGTGAGGCTCGCAATTTTCACGAAAGCACTTATACACGACGAAGTCGCACAAGTTTGCCAGATCTCGGCGGCATCTTGTCAAGTTTCACCGTTGATAACTTGCCAAGATCTGCCGACATGGCCGTTCCATTCCACCGCCTCAGGGTGTGCGGCAGCATCCTGGTCGCCGCCCGGGGCGCCAGCATCCACACCTTCAACATCACAGATGGTTCACATATTGCTGCATGGCGAGTGCCACGGTCAGCAAGCAAGGAGGAGGAGAAACACGAGGATGAGGGTGTACGTCCGCCAGAAGAAGATACTGGTGAGATTGGGGGTGGCGATGATGTACCCCCGTCAAAACGGAGACGGCTAGATGAGACGGAGGCCAAGGACAACACAAAGAGCCAGGAGCAACAACCACAACAAACCAGTGCCAACGGCAACGCCAATGCGAACCCAAAAAAGAAGAAGAGCAAGTCCAAGTCCAAGCAGGCACCCGCCAACTCGGCCAAACCCCAAAAGTGGCAGCCCTGCGCACAGCTGACCTGCCGGTCGTCAGCATCCTCGAGGCCACCGCTGATGGCCGTCATCTCGTCGTCATGATGGGCCATGACAAGACGCTGCGCGTGCTGGCACACGACCTGCAGGGCCATCTGACGCAACTCAGCGCACGAGTTATGCCCAAGCGCCCCTCGGCCGTGGCATTTACGGCCGACAACCAGACGATTTTGTCGGGCGACAAGTTTGGCGATGTCTATGCGCTGCCCCTGATCGAGGTGGAGAAGACGGAGGCTGAAGTGGCAGCAGCCGAACGGGCGGCGAAGAAACAAGAGGCGGCCGAGCAAAAGGCGGCACAAGAGGCGGCACAAGAGGCCATTGTCGCGCCTCGGCGCCTCGAGGCCAACAAATTCACCGTGCACACCAAGGGCAACCGCCAGGCCCTCGAGAACCAGCGCCGCCAAAAGGAGCTGCTCATCCAGCAGGGGCTCGACCCGCTGAAGAAGGATGCCGAGGCCAGCGCCAGCGAGTACCAGCTGCTGCTGGGCCACGTGTCCATGCTGACGGCCGTGGCGGTGGGCGCAGGTTTCCGAGAGGGTGAGCGACCGACACAGGGCGGCCCGCGTATCCAGCACGTCCGGCGTCCCCTCATCCTGACGGCTGACCGCGACGAGCACATCCGCGTGACGCGCGGCGTGGTTGGGCCGACCGCGGCCACGAGCCAAACCCACGTGATTGAGACGTTTTGTCTGGGCCACACGTCGTTTGTGAGCCGGCTGTGCATCCCCTCCAGCCGGCCCGATCGGCTCGTGTCGGGCGGCGGCGACGGCGAGCTGCGCGTGTGGAACTTCTGGCCCGAGGGCCGGCTGGTGGGCACGGCCGACCTGGCGGCGGCGGTGGCGAGCGTGGCGAGCGTGTCGGGTGCCGAGGCCAAGGTGGCCCTGTCCGGGCTGTACGCGTTGGGGTCCGGAGCGGGGGGTCCCGATGCCATGACGGACGACGATGCCGCGGACGCCTTTCTCGTGGCCATTTGCGAACGGTACGTTAAGCTTCACCCCTGGCAGCCATCATCCGTTTTGTATTTGACTTTGGTGCATGCACTAACAACACAGAATCCCCGCCCTCTTCTTCTTTCGGTTGGCGGCCGACGGCGCCACGCTGGCGCACACACAGACGGTGCAGCTGCCAGAAGGACAGCTGCCGCTGGACGTGGCCGAGGTCGGTGACGGCGAAACCCGTCGGCTGGTCGTGGCAGCCGCACCGGCTGAGGAGGATGCCGTGACAGCCACACCCCTGCTATCGCTCATGAGCACAAAAGAGGGCTGGACGGTGGCCGAGACGTCGCCATTTGCCGCGCTGCCGCCGCCAACGGTTGAACACGACCCGGACTCGGCCACGCTCGACCATGCTGTCTTGCGGAAGTTGCTGCTGCACAGCAACGAAAGCCTGCGCAAGGACAACGAGAACGAGGAGTAGTTGGAAGTGCTGCAGCATTCGTCATACCAATCAGGTTTGGGGCATTATCTAGCATTTCGCTTTACGATAGACTTATCATAGGAAGGCATGAGCGAGCATCACAGCGCAGTTCGTTGAAAGAACCGTGTAAAGTATAATATGGTTGCAAGCCTAAATCATTGTAAAACGGGTGTAAAAACAAATGCCGTCTATGGAATCCTCTTAAACGCCAAAAAAGAGAGCAAACTATAAAGAAAAGGGCGAAGAAGATAAACGGGAAAGTCAGAAAATGAATGGGGACAACAAGAGACAACACAACGTAATAGAACGGCAAAAACGCAAAGAGTATAAGTCGTACCGGTCCACGGACCGCGACCCTTGGCCTTGTTCTCGTCCTTCTCCGGTTCCCACATCATGATATCATGGCGTGGCAACCACACGCCACACGCACATTTCATTCACCCCATTGTACACCGCCCATTCTGTCACACTCCAGCCCCATGCTCCAAGAAAATGCACCATCTGTCGTTCTCTTAAAGTCATCATCATCCATGCTATATTTTCGTTTTCTTTGGTTTTCATATATTTTTCGGCGCAGTTCGTGAACAGCAGCAATCGGCCAGAATCGACGCACGCGCTCAGGCGCTCTCACCGTCGCTTACTGAGACGCGCACTGCACGCGCTCGGCCTGCGGGTGGCCATCGTCCTCGTCGTCGGACATGGCGTTGGGGTTGCCGGCACCCGCAAAGCCGCGCGCGCCGCCGCCGGCGGTGGGGTCGACGTCCTCGAGATCGGCGGCCTCGGTCATAGCGTCGGTCGGTGGGACGTTCTCGACAGCGGGCGAGGGCAGCAGGCTGCGGAGGGCCTCGAAGGCGGCTGGGTCCTCGGTCCAGTTCTTCTCGGGGAACTTGACGTTGAACTTGATGTACAAGTTGCCGAAATCGTGGTGGCGGTACGTGGGCATACCCTGGCCACGGACCATGCGGACAGCGTCTAAGTCGGTTGGTTAGTATGGGGCGGCACTACGCATGCACGTAAACTAGGGAGGGGGGTATGGGTCTGGACATACTTGGTGAAATGGCCTCGCCGGGCAGAATGTCGACGGACAGCCACCGGTCGTCGAGGTGCTCAATGTAGATGGTGCCGCCAGCCAGGGCCGTGACGAGCTCAATGTCGCAGTTGTACAGCAGGTCGTCGTCGCGGCGGGTGAAGCGCGCGTGCGGCTTCTGCTCAATCTCAAAGACCACGTCGCCGGCCTGGATGCCGGGGGCCTGGTCGCCCTCGCCGCGGAAGTCGACGCGCGTGCCGCTCTTGACGCCACGGTCGACGTGCACGTGCAGGACCTTGCGGTCGACGACCGTCTTCTTGCCGTTGCAGTTCTTGCACCGGTCCTTGTCCTTGATGATCTCGCCCTCGCCGTTGCAGTCGGGGCAGGCCGTCTGGAAGCGCTGGATCATGGGGCCCATCTGGCGCATCATGGTCTTCATGCCGTGGCCGTCGCAGCCCGGGCAGACGCGCACGGCGCCCTCCTTGCCGCCGCGGCCCTCGCACTTGGGGCAGATCACCGACCGCTGCAGGGCCAACTTAGAGACCTTGCCGCGGTAGATGTCTTCCAGGGAGACCTTGTGCGTGTGGTGGATGGTGCGGGCCTTTGGCGGGCCGCGCGACTGCATGCCGCCGCCGCCGCCGCCAAACATGCCGCCGAGGCCGCCGCCGAAGCCCTGGCCGCCGAAGAACTGGGCAAACAGGTCCTCGGCGGCCATGCCACCGCCGCCGCCAGCACCACCCTCGAGGCCGGCCTCGCCGTACTGGTCGTAGACCTGGCGCTTATTTGCGTCGGACAGAATCTCGTAGGCGTGGGAGATTTCCTTGAACTTCTCCTCGGCAGCCGGGTTGTGTGCGTTCTTGTCTGAATGGGGACGTTAGTCAAGCGTTCTGGACAAGCGCATAGTTTAACAAGTATAATCCATGAGATGACATACCAGGATGGTGCTTAAGGGCGCCGACACGGTATGCTTTTCTCAGCTCCTGCTCGGTGGCTGTCGGCGAAACCTGACAATGAAGTTAGTAAGAGAAGAGGCACGGTTGACCAGAAACCATAAAGAGGCAAGATCAGCAGCCACTGCCCCAAGACAATCCTCAAGACAATAGAGTCCCTCGAAACGTGTCTGGGTTGCGGGCGCACTGGCATATCATATGCGGGCCAAAACTTACGCCAAGGACATCGTAGAGTTTCGTCTCGCGAACCATCGTGGCGGATGTGGTGGGATTCGGAAACCGAAGGGGATATTATTACGGGACAGAAGGGGTATCGAAACGAGAGGAGAGTCGTATCGCTCGTCGCTGTATGTTCGCTTTATCTCAATGAGTGGAAGGTCTGATTCGTCGGTTAGTATCCGGGATACACGTTTTGTTGGATCTTGAAAGGTGGAAGACGAGATCAAGACTGAGGCATGTGGTATAAGACGAGAGAGATAACACGAGAGATCTAATCTAGTGAGGCGAGGAAAAGGGAGTGAGAAGAACAGAGAAAGAGGCAAACGAAGGCGCGAGGCTTATCCAAGCAACAGACAGAAGGGGAGTAAACGACGGAAGGCGAGGAAGGGTGAGAGCAAGGGTCTGGCGGCCATACAAAATATGACTGCAGAACAGAAGATCAAAGGCAGAGGAGTTCCAGAGGGGTGCCGGAGTGAATGAAGGGCGCCAGAAAGGCAGAGAATGTGCTAGCAAGAAGACGCAAGCCGGAAGTGTCTCTCGGTGGGGCGTTGGGCATTGGAATGCGATACTCTGCACTCTACACAAAGCAGAGACGGAGGGCGGACGGCAGACGAGGGCAGAGGCTGAGGGCAAAGACGGGAAGACGCAGAAAGAAGCACAAAGTGCTCAAAGAGCAAAAGACTCACTTGGTGATAGTTGCGACGCCAAAGTGTCGAAGAGCTCGAGGACGATGTGCAAAGGTCGCAGAGGGCGGAGAGGAGGACGACAAAAGAAGCACGGAGAGAAAAGGAGGCCTGGTCGAGGAGGAAAAGGGAACACGACGGGCTGGTTTTGCTGGAGTATTCGTTTTTCTTCTTTGGTTTTCTGTTTTCGGTCCTGTCTGAGGGCTGGTGCTGGGAAGTTGGAAGTTGGTTGGCCGTTCTGGGCAGGGCGTCCGGAAAGTTTTGCTGGGGAAGGCGCGGGCTGTGATAGGCGCAGGAAGCCGTGGATGCAGGCAGTTACAGGCAGTTACGGAGGAGGAAGGAGAGCCTGGCGGTCAGAGGCTAGAACGGCTGAAATTTGCAGGGCGTTCCTTCCGGCGTTGTTCATGTGTCTGCACGCCGACCAGCGCTGTATTTTTCTACCAATACGTCTTACCTCTGTAAATGTCGCCTACAAACTGACAAGACACGCTTCTCCCATGGACGCCTTCGTGCGCTTTCTTTGTCCATCGGACGGATTCTGCATTCTGCCAGGGGCAAAGAGGCCGCGGTGAGGCAAAGAAAAAACTAGAAGTCTCAAGATAGGCTCTGAATGGTCGGCTGCGGCCAGAGCGAGCGGCCCAAAAGTCCCTGAATGCGCTAAAACAGTGAAAAAGAGAGCCTAAAACTCTTCCGAGGGAGTGTCGTAGTGGAAAGCGGTGTTCCATGCAGCGTCAAAAAGTGGCGCCCCAGCCCCGCCGATGGAAAGCAATGGAAGCTCCTGGAGTGGTTGGGAAGCGCGCTAGCAGAGGCGGCATGAAGTAGAGGTACCTATGTCATCTACCTATATATGCGGTAACATTCGTACTAGTACATTACTGACTTACACGCGTTGAAGTAGAGGTACATATTCGCATCATTTTTGCCAGCTATTGTCGGTGCGGCAAGAGTACCTCTACGTCACATGCAAGGCTGTGCTTAAGGCTGTTAAAGGCATGATTACAGACACGGTTCACGATGTTTTGTCAATATTGAATATAATATTATTGAATATAATATTATTGAATATAATATTATTGAATATAATATTATTGAATATAATATCAAGCACAATTTATTAGCGTAGAGTCAGTCAGTGCAAATCAAAAAAGTACAAACAGTCTACAAGGTTGTGAATAATTATCAGGCGGGCAAAAATCGATCGTCAACTCATACACCTCAGCTTGTCAGCAATCGTCCAACACCATCGGCCATCAGCGACGCCGTCGACTTCGACTCCTCCACGCAGCTAGTAGTCAAACGTCTCACCAACCAGAGTCTCGCTCAGCGTCCACAGACGCGCCGCCAGCTCGGGGTTCTTGGCGTAGTCCAGGATGCCCGTGTCCACGGCCGACGACGAGATGGTCGCGCCACTCTGGCCGGCGAGCGCGGGGTCGTACGCCGCCGTGACGTAGCTGGCCACGCTCTGGGCCGCCGAGATAAAGGGCGCCGCCGGGTTGAGCGAGCCGTCCTCGAGCAGCCAGCCCAGCGACTTCTGCACCGCCTCGGGCACGTAGCGGCCCAGGCCCGTGGTGCCAACGGCACCAGGATTGACCGAGAAGGCCTCGACGCCCTTGCCGGCCAGCTTCTGGGCGAGACCGACGGTCAAGAGCATGCCGGCCGTCTTGGACTGGGCATAGGCGACAAAGGCGTCGTAGGCCGCGCGGTTGGCCGGGGTGTCGTCGAGGACGCTGGGGTCGTCGAGCGCCTTGACGGGCGAGCCGAGGTACCCGCCCGACATGACGGACACGACGCGCGCACCGCCGGCGGCCGTCGAGCGGCGCAGGGCGGGGACCAGCAGGTTGGTCAGGAGGAAGGGGCCAAGGTGGTTGGTGGCAAACTGCTTCTCGACGAGCTTGCCGGCGGCGTCGGGCACGCCCTGGTACGTCTGCAGCATCATGATGCCGGCGTTGTTGATGAGAACGTCGAGGGCCAGGTCCGGGTGTCTCGCCGTCAGATCGGCGACGGCGGCGCGGACCGACGGCTGGCTGGCGAGGTCCAGCGGCAGCGGCTCAATGGCCGTCTTGGCGGCGTCGAAGCCGGCGTCGGCCTTGAGGCTGGCAATGACCTCGGCGATGGCGTCGGGCGAGCGCGAGGCGAGGATCAGCAGCTTGGGCGCGTGCGCCGCGACGATGCGGGCGGCCTCGGCACCCAGGCCCGACGGCGACACGCCGGTAATCAAGACGGTCTTGCCGACCATGTGCTCGTGGAGCTGGGCGGCGATCTCGTCCGAGGTCGCAGTGCTAGTGGCGCCGACATCCAGCTTGTTGAGGTCAGCCGTAGCAACGGTGCCAGACATTGTTGATTATTGAGAGAGTGGTGATGGGACGGGGTTATGGTAGTGGGTCGAGTGATCGAGGGTGCAGATGCAGACTGTTGAGATGTCGAGAGACAGTTGAGTGTTGCGAGTGATGTTGTGGGTGGTGATCTAAACTTTTCGACATCAACAACCTCGACGGCTCGCCTCTCTTTTATAGACATTTGTCGCTCCTTCTCCGACAGCGTCTCCTACCATAATACCATGATGACGACAGGTTTTGATGATGAAAGATGGAAAGAATTGTCAGCGTGATGATGGAAGACAACGACAGTGCAGCAGACAAAAGTGATGTTGCCTGGTCAAGGTGGTTGGGAAAGGCTGTGCCGCCAGCGCCCATATCTTCCACAGCACTTGCTGATGTATAACGGTCGTGATGGCGCCAAGGGGAAAGCGACATGACTGCATGCCAAAAGACCACAACGAAACACTGCTTATGGTCTGCTTCTTCCACGTGCTGTCCAGGCCGCCAAAGGCTGCTTGGAGTCAGTAGGGCGGGATATCCTGGCGTCAGCCGGGGAACGTGGCGTTCTTAAGCTTCAACGGCAGATCGTGCGGGCGTGTGAATATGAGGCTCCGGCAGACTCTAGCACTTTTTTGGTTTGTGGATGACGACAGATAGGTCAACTTGGGAGTGTGCAACCGACATTTCCCCACGCAATCCCGCCGAATCAGCATTACAATGTGGCGTGCCTTTGGCTGTCTTCTCCGTTTTCTGCTGACGCTGAAAAGTGGGTCCATCCATTCTGCTGATGCTGATGCTGATACAATTTATTGCTAGTGCTACCCCGAAGTCAAGCAGCAGTCCACTGAAAGCGCCAAAATAATTCGTACAGGGCACTCAAATGTGGCTGGTCCAGCGCGGTGTGGCTTGACGGTGTCGTTTGATCCCCACATAATGTATTAGACGTATTCCACAATATTAATAGCACTTGCCCTGTTTGGGTGCAAATCTACAAGCACCGTCAACAAAACATCACGAGAATCAGCTAACAAATTGACCACCATTCAACCAGCCAGCAGTTCCTATAGCCCATCACGGTCTTACAGCTAGAAGCATTATGCCATCTACGAGAAAGTTTTCAACGTCTATAGTGACATCCCAGCACGTACTCATCCTTGTCGCCCACCCACCAACCAAGATGTAGACGCGAGCTAGATAACGGCTTCTTATAAGGTGTTCCCTTTTCCCATCTCAAATATCGGCGTCGTCCTTCAACTCCTTCACACCCCCTTTTTTGGTAATTAAATGCCACACTGCCACCCCTGTTTACCATGCGCAGCCCTACAATGAATGTTTCCGGATCGCCTAACACGGGCACCTGGGATCGCATGAATGATCTACGGACCCTAATGCCTCACATCGTCGGGGGCGACGAGGAGCTTAAAATGTTTCAGATGAAGGCTTCGTGGGGTGTGAGCAAAAGGACTTTGTCATGCAGGTTCTTATTTTAGATGCAAAGTGGTGTCGCTGCGAGTTGCCTCACAGTTGCTTCATATGAGAGCCATTACGCCTCTGCCTTGGCAAGGAAATACGAATCCCAAGAATCCTCATAGTCTGCGAGCTGGGATGCGGTAAACTGCACGTACCGCTCCATCTCCGCCTTTGCCTCCGAGGGCAGCTCCGGCGCGGACTCGGACCGGTGAAACACAGCCCAATAGATGCCGTCGACATGGTCGGAGTTGTTTAGCGCATAGTCGAACCAGACGCGTCCCGTGGTCCACGAGTCGTACATCAGAGTCGACAGCGGCGTCTGCTCTGATGGCGTCGTCGTCGTCGTCGTCGTCGTCTGCCGCTCGCGTTCTGCGCGTCGCATGGCGTCGAGGAACCGCTGGAGCAGAGGCTCGTATTCCCGCAGAAACCAGGCAAAGTAGCCGCGGTCGAGACACGTGCTGGGCAGATAGCGGGCCAGCCACAGAGGCGGGTCGCTGGCGAACTGGGCCGGCATGGCATTGGTGAACTCGAGGTCGAAGACGCCGGTGATGACCCCCGTCTCGGGATGGACCGTCATGTTGCGCGTGTCGAGGTCCGGTTGAACGCGCGGAAGGGGCCCAAGTTGTCACCTGGGGGGCAGAGCGTAGGCGTCGCAAAGAGCTGCTGGAAACGGTACCGGCCCTCAAAGCGGAGGCGTGCAATCGCCTCCGACGTGTCCGGCTGGTGGTACGCGCCCGGCTCGTTTTCATTGTCGTTCGTCTGCGGGGCGTTGATGTTGCGCAGCGTCCAGAGCTGGGTCGACTGTTGCTGCGCGACAAAGTCGAGGTACGCCTTGGCGCTTGTGAACGGCTCCGTCGGCCAGTCGTCGGTCGGGTAGTTGGGAATCCCGAGGGCGTTCTGGTGCATGTCGATGGTGAGCGGGCGTCTCGCGATGGTCCTTGTCCTCGGCCCCGTGGGCGTGTCGTTGGCGACGGACCCAATCGCCTCGAACTGCAGATCATAGAGATCAAGATGGAACGACGCGAGCTGCTGGAGTATGATGGACTGCAGCTCATCAGGAGGCCCACGCGCCAGGAACTCGCGGAGGTTGTCACCCTCGGCCCAGTCCATCACGATGTAGGGAAGCTGGAGAGGCGGCTCATGGTGCAGCTCCTTGTCAGAGCGGTACACGCGAGGGACGGGTATGCATGTGCCCTTGTCCCGGATGCGCTGCATCCAAGCGGCTTCATTAATCATCTTCTCGGCGGCGAGCGCAGCGGCCGAATAGCCGGGCTTGGGGACCTTGATGGCGACATCGCCGCCGACGGACGCAAACCGGAAACGAATCACTCGGTTGTAGGAACCTTCGTACGTGTCGTTCTCGACGAGCTTAGCGGGACCACGGCCGCTGATGTGATCGCTGACGAACGCCTCCAGAATGCGAAAGTGGTTTCCCTCGAGGCTACCCTTCCACGCTTCGTACTCATCCGAACCTTTTGCGTAGAACAAAGCATCATAGCCGACCTTGAGCGAGGGTGTCTTGTCCATCTTGGAGGATGCGAAGGAATTGGGCAGACCAGACCGAAGGATATGGCGGTTAACAAGGTCCAAGGTATACGTGGCATAGAAAGCGATTCTGCGTGTGTAGAGAGAGAATGATGGACGTTGTATGTTGTCGATGCAGACAATTGGTGGACAGAGGGGCGATTGGATTTGTTTCAATGGCCCCTGCCCAGTGAGCCAACCAGCCACATTCGAGTGGGCTATGATTGCTGAGACTCGTTGTCCCTTGCCTTCGGGTCATGCAGCCAGGTCATTCAGGGTGCATATCGTTTTTACCTGTCGCAGCGATGCTGTCCCAAAATAAGCTCAATTTTGAGACGGAATATTTCATGACGAGCATCTTGTCCTACACCACCTCCGCCCAGGCTCTCTATGCTAACAATCATCGTACGGGGAGCCTGATTCCCCACATCGTGAACTTATGTTTCGCAAAAGGTGCAGACCGAAATCCTTGACCTTTGAATATCCAACTTTTTCACCCCTTTCACCTATTGCTCTCTTTCTCGTCTGCATTGCTCTTGCCTTACCCAAGGATGAGAGAATGCCTGGACCGATAAGGGGCGGTCCTCCGGCAGCCATCGAAGGAGGGACCGTACCAAGTCGACAAACGCAGTCTTTTCGTTGCCCTGCAGCTTCTTTGCCAGCGTCTCGAAGCTCACGCCCTCAGTTACGGTGGGCGACCAAATCCAGTTGCCTAGAAACATACGTGTTACTGTGGCTCCCACGAGCAGCGGTGGTTCGTAACTGTCACACACCTTGATCGTCCCAGTACTTGGATGTTTCGGACGCCTTTCGATTCAGAAACTCGATGGGTGGTGGCCCCAGGAGAGCAACCATGTTGGCAAGGTGGCGGGCATTGCTCTGCTCCCGCGATTCATCGGCCTCTAGCTGAAATAGAATGTCGTCTTCCACCAGATTCCACGCCTTTAGGGTTGGTGATTGTCAGAACACGTCATGTCCGTGGCGTGTATGGAGGTTAGACGAGGGTGCGACGTACCAGTACCCCCACGTTCCACATATCGATCTTGTTGTCCCACGGCATGCCGAGAATCACCTCGGGGGCCCGAAAGGGTGCCGGCATGGCGATTCCCCCGTGTCGAGGACCAATGCGCGCTTGCCCCATGTCGCAGAGCGCCAGAGGGCCGATACTGTCTACGACACCGAGACTTGCGTGGATCACGGTGCCATCGACATACTTCCTCCGCGACGACGTCCTTGCTTCGAGGCTGGCAATTTTGTCAAACACAGCCTGGTCCATGACGCCGATCAGCAAGTTGTCAGCATGGAGATCTTTCTGGTTAGTAGGAACATTAGAAAAGTAATGTTTCATGCCCGAAAACGAGAGAAAACGAAGACGTGGTACCTGTATAGATGACGTCGGCCGAATGCAGGTAGTTGATGGCCAAAAGGACCTGCTCGACGGCCAGCCGTGCCATAAGAGGCGACAGCACGTTGCCGGGCCGGTAACGGAACTCGCCCAGGGTCATGCCGGCAGCCGTCAGGACAAGCACCTGGTGCGTTTCATCCGGCTCTTGCAGCTCGAACGCATCCCGAAGCTCGCAAATGTGCTGCTTGCCGGGGTGGTTTCTCCCGTGCCCCGCCAAGTGGCGGTACACGTCCAGCACGCTCGTGCGATGCTCTTCTGCCATTGTGTTGACCTGGATCTTCATCGCCCAGTACGTGCCGTCCCAGGACAAAAGCCAGCGCGACAAGATAGGAGACAGGAGGCCATCGTCAGGTCGGTGACAGGCACGCACTGCAGATCTTGGGCCAGCCAGACGGTCGAGCTTGTGCCGTAGCCCATCTTGGCCCCCAGCTGGTACCGCCCTTTGATGATGTCGCCATTGCGCGCCGGGTAAAACGCCTCGCGCATGTAGTGCGGCAGAGCCTCTTCCTCGAAGGCGGTGGAGGCGTCCACGGTCTTGTAGCCTTCGTTGGCGAAAGTGCGCGGCTTCGGCATCGTTTTGAGATGTGATTGCGGCGACAGATGATAAAACAGGGATGAGGAACCGTGGGGGGAAGGATGGGATGCGACCGTCGTAAATCCCGTTGGGCAGAGTGGTGTACATTCGCTCCGATGACCACAAATAAAATAAATTGGCAAAGGGAGCCGTTATTTTTCAAGGAGCATGAGTGTTGTATCAGAATGGTTGAGGTATGGGCTTTCACTCATTCACTGTGGCATTCATGCTAGGCAAGCACCGAGCCACCGTTTTGAGTCAAGGTGATGACTTTTGCAGTACCCAAGAAGGCCGATGCTGATGTTTGCTGGCCAACATGACTCGTTATTGAACACCGGCCCATTAAAGGAGAGGCATGTGGACATGTATTGCCTGACGTCTGTGATGGAGCATGACTGACGTATGCCGTACAAAGACTCAAGGTCGAAACCCCTTACTGCAAGCGCCATAAGTAGCGGCCCGGCCCAGCGAAAAGCGGGCCAGAACAGCGATTTCAGGCTTCCATGCCATTGCCATCTCACAATTGCAATGCGGCAACTGTGCCTGACAAGTCGGCCCCCTTCAAAAACTTGCATTTCCACCTCGTATGGTTTGTGGACAGTCCCTGCATTTTCTTTGATCCTCCCGTCTCCTTCCACACCTTGTCTTTCACCTGTCTTCCTTTGACGGGCATCGCCACGGCCGGGTGTTCATTTCAGTTCATTGGACCTGCAAGTCGTACTTTCATCGTTTATCGGAGATCATGATGTTGCCAAAGCTCAACTTCTGTGCGCATTGAGCCAGTACGATCTGCTCGGCATTGAATTCATTCATTACTTTATCAAAACCTGGCTCTTTGGATCTTCACGTCAATGCGAAACCACAGCTTTCGGACGCAGCTGGTAACCTGGTCGATAACCTGGTTCACCAGCCGCCTGACAGGGGCCGCGGTTTAATGCAGTGGAATATGAGGCTGTGCAAGTAGAGCAGATAGAAAATAAAAATAAATAAAATAATAAAGCAGAAGTGAGAGAGAGAAAATGGTGTCTTGTATCACCAAAGAGAAATAAAAAGAAATAAAAAAAGACAAAAACATATCTCCGATACGGGGAATCGAACCCCGAGCTCGACGGTGAAAACGTCAGATGTTAACCATTACACCATATCGGATTTAGTCGCTTACGGGATTTGGCCCTAAATGGTAGTTATATAGCAAAGCGCGCTAGCGAGACGACGAGGGAAGACTAGGAAAATTACGAGGTGACGTCAACCGACCCACGACAGAAGATCTGAAGGGCAACAAAAAAGGTTAATAAGCTCCGATACGGGACATCGAACCCTGAGCTCGACGGGGAGAGCGTCGGACGTTGGCCATTACACCATATCGGATATGGAAGGCTTTGGTTTGGTGGGCTCGTTGGATGCTCAGCCGGCGTCTTGATCGGCCACAAAGAGTCTATTGCCGGAGAGAAGTCTGATGATGTCGAGTTTGCCTCTCCTCTTCGTTTGGTCAATCTGCCAACTTTGCACACGTCCCCGGTGTCGGACGCAAGGAGGGTTTCCTTTCTGAGACTGTGCTTTTTTGTTTTCCTGTTTTGCCTGGATGGCATGCGCACAGATCCTGCGCTCCCGCATATTCAATGCTTCAATGCCCCATGATGGAGGAGATTGTGTGGCACACAGACCACGAAACACAGCAAGACACCCAAACGACCAAAAAGGATAAAACATAAAACGTGAAAAGAAGGAAAGTATGCAAACGCAAAATGGCGGGGACAACAAAAAAAAAGAGGCTTGTGCGCCGCACATATTGACGGCATTGAATCGGGATGACACAACTTGATAGCCTGACAGAGAGCATCGTCGATCTGTGTTGCGTTGGACCGGGACACGACCCAGTCTGGTTAGCCACCGACCACGAGGGTGTGCAGATGTGCAGACGCAACAATGTGTTGGCGGTACAGCCGGCGGCTATGGCAAAAAGTACGATGCTGCGGCCAGTTTGTGAGACATGCGTCGTAGGTTTTTGGGGTGTCTCCCTGGGGAACCTTTGCTCTGCGTGCATAAGGTTGCCCCTCCTGTCGTTTCTGGGCGCATTGTCGATGGCAGGACGCAAGGGAGACATGTAAGTGACAACGGGATGCGTGTCGATGGTCACGCCGGCCGCAGACGCAGATCTAGTACACTCTGGCAACCCAAAGGGAGATCCTCGGGACATTCTTGAATTTTGGGCTTTTTTTGTATTAGTTTTGCTCACTTTGACAGGTCTTTTTTTTTTTTTTTAGAGTTTTGCTATATATATCTAGAGTCTTGTTTTTATTTTTGGTATTTATTTTAATATGCGCACTTTTTCGGACATGATTACCAGTCTGAGAGCGTCAATGCTTTTTAGGACTTTATTTCTGTATATTTCGGATGGTTCTTGTGTAAAGTCGACTTTCATGGTTTATTCTTTTACCACATTTCGTGCATGGCACTCTTTGACCCTTACTGTGGACGTGAGGGGTAAGCAACTGGTCGCCTTTCGTGCATATTTAGACCATGCGTAATGCAAGCTATGACGCACCCAAGCAACATTAGCTAGCCTCGCATTTTGTCATTTTGGACCGACATACTTGTTTTGTGTGCTGTCGGGGACACTGGCATTGTTCATCTGTTTGTCTATTCATCCTACGATCCCTTCCCCTTTGCAATGACTTTTTGTCTGCTTCGCCGTGGAAACCGGCGCAATGATGGACAGCATCTTCACCCGTCACCCATGGTATTGTTCGCCGGGACGAACAGCTCATCCAACGGCATTGTCTCGACTGCGAATGGCTTTGGCTGGTACCGTCGGGCTATATATTTGATGTGCTACCTACTTTTTTATTTTTTATTTTTATTTATTTTACTTTATTTTTTTTCATGGACAGAGTTTTTCTTCCGTAACCCCCCTTCTTCGTTTGCTTGGCCAATGCTTTGCGTCGCTTGCAAATGTAGAGAGATGGTTCATGGCGTTTGGTTCCGGTCGGGAGTGCAGGGGCGGCACAGCATCGCACTGCTCACTGCACGCAACCGGATACGATGGGATCAAGTCTGGGTAAGCCATGAGCTTCTGCAAAGTATACCCGACGAACCAGACGAGTCGATGCCATGTTCTCCAGATGTAGACAAACAGTATGTGCGTCTTCCCGAATGTGGGATAACAACAAGGTAGCTTGCATCACCAACCGCACCTGCAGCGTTCCCATGGCGGCTGTTCAGACGCGGTCCAGGGAGTATTTTGGTACTTTTGCACAACTGCAGTAGTCGCTCTATATTTATGGACGTGTCCGTGCGGCACGGCAGAAAATGCTGGCCAGTAACTGCTCCCCCAAAGTGCAGTTGGGATACGTCCAGCGCTTATACAATTACGTGAGGCTCTTTGCGCAATCTTGGTTCACGAATGAGAAAACATTGTGGATGCCGAGCAGTTCCCAATGCATGTCCAGTGCAGTGCAATATCCCGTTTCCTATTCTGGGATGCCACAATTCGTCTTGCGCAGATTGTCTCTGGCCATTTTCAGCTGCTTCCGGGTGAGAAGTATGGAGCACAGAGGATGTCGTAATTATGTGGTAATTAATACCTATTTTCAGAAACCGTTTTGGGCTTCCCATTCAGCGATCCCGTCAGCCAAAGAACTTGGAACGGAATTGGTGCTCTTGACCTTAAAATACACAAGCGATAGAGCTCTTGCGCGGAGGCACGGGACGGGGAGCACGTCAACGGCGGAAGACAATGGAACGGTGTACATGTACGAAATACGGTCTTGATGTTACTTGGCGTTGTTTTGGACATCCTGGTTTTTGTGGTCTCTTCACGAATTCTTTTTATGGAGCAGCAGTTGCTTTTCACCGTAGCATTCGGTGTAAAATTTGCTCGTCCGTTCTTGTTTCCCGTATTGTTTTTGTCTCTGCGGCTTGAAAAACACGCATGGAGAGTACCTTGTAGATACGTTGACGAAAGTGGGTTCTCCTTAATAAAACAGAGTACCATCGTGGTGCACCCTGTTTCGTTTCAATTTCAACGGGGAGAAAGAAGATCGAGGTGAAGAAGAAAAAGACGAGAAGAGAAGGAAATGTGCAGTAGAAATGAAAGACATCGTCAAAACCACAACAAACCTAATTTCCGACAGACCAATCACCGTAGACCGGAACAGTCGACGGGACCACAAGTCATTTTATTTTCAGTGCGTCAGGACGAAAGAGGTCCCGCATCCCCCCAGCTTCGCTTCATCAGCGTGGCAGGGGTGGCCCCTGTCCACAAGAGAACTGCGACCCAAGACCGAAGCTCCTCACGTTACTATTACTAGTCGTCGCCGACGTTGGGCGACGACGTTTCTGATTACGGCCACACGCGGCAAGGTCAGCGCAATATTGCTAATAAACGGACCGACGACACTGCAAAGCTGCAAGATACTTTATCGTTTCCTCGGCATCTCTCAGTCGGCACAACAAAAGTGCTCTGCTCTGCACGCACAACATACCTCTTTGCATCCGACGGCCTGGCGAGCATCGTTTGTATCGAAACATCCCGCGTTCACTTCTTGGTTACATATCTTACGTGTACGAAGTAAGCGTCGCTGAAGTCTTGGTCTTTGTTTTCAAGAATCGAATCCGCTTTCTGGATCCGGTTTTCAGCCTTTTGGCTTCGGGACGTCGCGCTGTCCACCCCGTAGCTCGTCTTTGTGTCTCAGTCCGTTGTGGGCCACGAAGCTACGACGTATGCTCGTATCTCGCGGGAGGAAATCATGCCCTTTCGGGTTTCCGTTTCCTCGTACTTCGTGTACTTCGTATGGCGAGTGAGCCAAACCGCAGTGTCCGCCAACTGCCTCCAGGCGAGGACTGCCTGGCGATCGTTCCGGGCTGTTCTTGCTTCTTTTGTCAGCTGTGTTTTGACTGTCTATCCGCGTCACGGCAAGGATACGTCGTGGAATATATGTCGTAGTGCTAGAACACGGCACAGATGGCATCGATATCACGGAAAGGCCTTCTGCCGACTGAAAGACAAGACATCCCGGCACAGGGCCGTCTGCAGATGTTGAAATTATCCAATAGGTAGGAATCCAGGCAGCCGCACACCCAGCCAAACAAGCAAACGAGAAACAAGAACACAAGACGGCACGCGACACGAGCACGAGCACGGATGCCGTTGCGGCGCGTGTCAACGGCGTGGTGGAGTTGAATGATACGAAGTATGAAAGCGAGGACAGACAGTAGAAAACGGCAGACGGGAGATGGAAACTTTTGTCGGCAGAAGGCAGGAAAGGCCTGGACTGCGGGCGGCCTGGGCCAGGGCAATGGGTCCACCGGGTCGCGTTTTAGGGAAGGAGCAGCACTGTGAATGTGAGAGCAGAGCAGCTGTATCACGTCCCACAGAGTCCACAAGACCCCAACAGAAGAACGCAAAAACGAGCAGACGCGTACGGCATACGTCGTCCGGAGCAATCAGAGTTCGGATGGAGGTCTAGTCTGGACGCAACCGAGAATCTTGACAAGTCTCTTTTTCTTTTACTTTTGCCCGGCTGAATTGCAGCAATCCGCACTTGCCTGGAATAGAGGCAATTGCATCGCAAGCTACGGAGTATTGTTCCTTCCTAGTTGCTCCCACGACAGCGCGTGGACTAGCTTCCTCAATAGCTTGCCTTTAGCTCTTTCCTCCGCTAGCGAACGTGTTCCTGCCCTGCTGTCCTGCCTTCTATCCACTCCTTCTATTTTGGCTGCGTTTCTGCCCTTGTCAGTCTCATTGGCCCTTTCCTCATTGGGCTAGTCCCCGTGCTGTATCAACATCGGACCCTTGCATGGGGAGGCAGACCGCGGGCAGAGAGGAGAATACTGGCTCGCCTGGGTCTCTCATGTTTTGTGTCATTGTCTCGCCGTCCGCCAGGGGGATTTTCCTCTCTCCACGCACATCCCGCACCCTAACGGCGTAGAATTTCCGTGGGCTGTCAAGTCCCATCGCTGTTCGCTGTGTTTACCAGGGTCGCTCTTGCCCGACGAAACCGTTTCGAACGCTCCTTCCGTATTTACCTCAGTTCCTGGTGGTTCCTCCCCCAAAACAAACCCTATTGTTGACGTCCAGCGTGCTGTGTCGCCTGTGGTGCCTTCCTCATCGAGAGAAGAGCAATTTCACACTATCTCGTCTTTCACCCTTTTTGCTTCTTGTCCCTCACTAATCTCCTTTTCCAACTTCTTCTTTTTCGAGTGTGTAAGGAGCGCCTCATTCTGAGCCTTTGGCTTCAAGTTTTTCGGTTTCGCTGTCGTCAGGGACTGATGCTTTTGTATTAAGCATTCTTGGCGGTCTCTACGTATCCTTTGTTGGCACTCCAAGCATATCGGCAAGCCATTGCAGGCCAAAAGTACTTCCACTTTCAACAAAATTGCAATTTGAACTCAAAAACGGCATTCTCTACGCCCGATTTGCTGCCAGCTCCAGCCTCCCACGTTCTTTTTCGTTCGTTTCGTTTAATAATCGTCTTTTTCTTTTATTGTCTTTTGTCCACATTCCCTTCCCAGCCACCCAGAGATCCAACATCTGCGCTCTAAACTTAGAGTCTGTCCTGCTGCATGGAAAATCACTGCAGCGCATATCTTACCACATCCTGCAGCAAACCACACTGTCCGCAGGCCTGCAGGACGCCTCGCATTGACCCATTGAACCAGCACTGTCCTCCTGTCTGGTAATTCGAGTGGCCAGGAAACGTCAACAAGCAGCAACCCGTGGGAACAGGCGGATTCGCAAACAAACGCAGGAGTCAACTCATCATTTCAACTCACTGAGGCTCCTCTATTGTAGCCGCAGCATTGCGATCACCGATCACCGCTCGCTCCGCCCCTCTTGTCTGACCGTTCGCACGCCTTCTCTTCCCGTTCCCCAAGGCCTGAGATCCCAAGAGTGAGCCAAGCGGACAACCGCATGCCCCGTCTGCGACACTGTTATTACCTCCACACCCATCTGCTTGTGCGCAGTTCCTCTTTTAGCTCTCCGTTTTGCTTGGGCTCGTTACGTGGGCTCCTTTTTCTGTTGCCGGCGGCTGCTTCTTTCAAAAATTAGTCTGAACTGGCCGGGTCTGGCCTGGCCTGCAACTGTGGCCCTGCTCCTGCGCCTATTGCTACCTCGCCAATTTCTTTTTCTACTACCCTCTACCCCGGTCGACTCCTCTTCCTCTCATTCTCTTCTGTTTCCCCCCCCTTCCCACCCCTACCTTTTTCATCGTCGCTCTGTGTCCTATCTTTCTTTTCTCTTTCTGCTTCTGCATTCCTTTCGGATTTCACGACAAAAAAAAACGCCAAAGGTCTCACCAGCGTCGACACGAAATCACTGACATCGCCTCAACGTTGTTCAGTCCGGACCGGTTAACTCAGTCACCATTCTCCAACCAGCTTCCATCGGCCCACGCTGTCGTTACCTGGTACCTGAATCGATAGCCAATTGGACCCGAGCCGACATCCAAGACACAAGGCACAATACACAGGACAACAGGACAACAGGACTCGCAGCCCGACGCGTTGGCGACTGCAGCAAGACAAGCGCAACGAACTCCCAAAATTGTGTCGTCAAACCGTGCAATTATGTCGATGTGTGCGCAGTAAAGCTCTTCTCCTTTTTGCTACGAGCCCGGACTTCCCCCGATCCCGCGCCACTTATTACGCCTATCCATTCCACGGCACAAAGGACTGGTCGTTCCAACAGCCGAAATCTGACCACGCGCGTGCCTCTCGACAACCGGGACTCGTCTCGAGAGCTCCCCTGAGAGCTTTCCTGCCAGTTTTCTACGGACTTGCGACAGCTGCGACACTCTCAGTCACCTGCGTATCGACACATCTTGCCGCCATGTCGGACTGCTTTTCTTTACAGGGCTCGACGAGGTGCCCGGCCTTCCAGTCAGCCTCCATATCACCATCGGCTGCTCGCGGTCAATAGTGCGTCGTTCCCTTGCATCTCCCTTTCTGGACCTGGTCTTGCCTCGCCATGTCGGCCTCTGCTAACTCGATCCAGTGACTTTCTCAAATTCGTTTCCGACCGGGTGACTTTCGATTCACAGCTCGACACGTACATCCAGACTACATTTATTCAAGAACAGTAAGGCTGATGCTCTCGTTTTCACATTCTCTCGTTCCATTCCTCTCACTTCCCCTTGTGGTAACTAATATCCCCATTCAGATTCCAAGCCCGCATAGGATGCCAGGCCATAAATCTTGCCAATACAAGCGAAATTTATCCGCGCTACCTGACAAGTACCATCTGCAGTGCCATTGTCCAGTCGTCCATTTCAACATGTGGTCTCTCGGCGGCCAACGCACAGCCGCTGTGCGCGGAAACATGTGCCCAATATGCAGAGAGCGAGCTATATATTGTGGACGACGGCGCCCTTTGCGGAAATGCCACGTCAGATGCCATCAAGCTGATAAAGTCCGACTTTGCCATCTGTTCGTCCCCAGATACCTCACTTTCCAGCGACTGCATTTACGGCAGCGCCAACGAACCCGACAACTGCGGATACGGTAACAGCACGATTGGCCTGTGTTCGTACTGTGCATCTGGTGGCATCAACTCGACCGACACGTGCTGCTACAACTCCCAGGCCGAGAGCCGGTGCGCGGGCGTCGTTCTGCCGACCATCACGTCGACGATGACCTTCTCCACCCCTTCGTCCACTGCCCCCGCCACCTCCTCGTCCGCCGCCGCTGTCAGCGGCACCCACCATAGCCTGTCTGGTGGCGCCATTGCCGGTATCGTCATTGGATCGGTCGCTGGAGTCGCCCTACTGGCCGGCCTCATTTTCCTTGCCATCGTCGCCCTCCGCCGGAGACGCACTGGCAGCCAGAACGGCAGCATCTTTAACCAGCCGTCTCCAGCGCGGCAAGGAGGACTTCCACAGATGTCTCACCCGCATCAGCCTCTGTCGTCCTCGCACGGCAACCAGCCCTTTGACGTCAATCCAGGCGGTCGCATTGCGCGCATGTCGGCTCTTGAGGGTCCTGGTGTGGACGCAGGTGACTCCCCGAGCCCGCCGGGCCGGGGTGCCTCTGCTGGCGCTGGCGCCGTTGCTGGCGCCGTTGCGGGCTATGCTGTCGGCAGACGGCGCGGCGACGACCACTCCTCGTCCGACGGCTACAACGATAGCCCTGACTCCGAAAACCGCACTGGCATTCTGCGGCCACCGCCAACAACGATGCGCCGCAACGGGTCGTTGTCGAGCGGTTCCGTTCTGGCCGGCGAGGACCCGCAGTCGCCCTCGAGCGCCGGCATGTCCTCGCCCCAGGCCATTACCAGCCAGCAGTCCGAGCAGCTGCCGTTCTTCAAGGACTACTATTCCCAGGACGACATCCACCCGGGTGACCGCGTGGCTGTTCTCTGGGCATACCAGCCGCGCGCGGCGGACGAGTTCTCGCTGGAGCGTGGCGACATGCTCAAGGTCGTCGGCATCTGGGACGACGGCTGGGCTACGGGTGTGATGATGGACGAGCGAGCTGACGAATGGGAGGCACGGCGGCAAGCGCAGCGGGACAGCGGTGTGTCCAACACGTCTGGCCGCGGCCGCGACATCTCCCCGGCGGTCAGCGGCGAGATTAAGGCCTTCCCGCTTGTCTGCGTCTGTCTGCCGGAGCACTGGCGCAAGACGATTGAGGGCGACAGTTCGACCGAGACGGCATCCAGTGCACACCCGATGCACGGGTTATAACCATGGCGCTTCTATGGTACAAGCTCATTCATTTGTATTTCTGCTCGCATCGCGAATAATGTCTTATGAAACGACGTCCTCTTCAAACCCATCATTATACTACAAATACACTACCAGCCTCGGAGTTTGGCGCTTTTTCGCTTCGCATGGCCCCACCACCACCAACACAACATATACAATACGCCTTTCACCTACCGACTACCATTGTTTCGTTTCTTTTTTTTTTTTTTTGTTGGATATGGTCTTGGGACCTGCCCAACCGACTCTGTCTCAGGGCGACCTTGGTCACCTATCCGGCATCAACTACCTTCTACTCGTCTTCGGCATCTTTTTTGTTCTACGCAGCGCTTGTTCGATTTTGTCCATACGTCATATTTTCGCTTCACGACTCTCCTTCGATATCTGGCCTTTTATTCTCACTTCCGACCTTTGGCCAACCAGCTACGGCGCATAGACACGAACCGAAGCTATTTAGCTATTTGCTATCACTCTCCTTGATTCCCATATACAACAACTTCATCTTTCGCCGTTTCTTTCGTCTTTTCGATCTGCTACGGTACAGCGTAATGCCTCACCCTCGTCAACCATTCCCGACAACTCTCTTTAATCGCCGGGAGTGTATGCTTGCCATTCTTATGGTGTGTATATGCTCCATTTGGTTTTCGTACCAATCTTTCCCACACGATACCCAACAACCTCCAAAGAGCAGCAAGGCGAGGAAAGGACAGGAAAACGGACGCGTGGTGTTTGGGCGGGCATTTTCATAATTTCTTCTTCGTTTCGTCTACGTTCCCTCTTGAGGGACGTTCTGACCATGTAATCTCGCATTATTTTCTTTCTTGACCATATTCGTTGTCAATATTACTCTCATTTGTCCCATCTTGAGGATTTGGGAGGGGAGATTAGGAGGAAGGGACCAGGAAGGGGCATGAGGAAAGGAAGAGGGAAGCTGAGAATAGCAAGCGTTCTTGTCGATGGGATTGCTTTGGTGAGTCCCAGAGACGATGCAGCTTATCCCCATTACAGTAGCTTTAAAATACAAGTATTTATTCGATGTATTTATTCGACGTGGTTAATTGTGAATTTATTGTCAGAAACGGTGGAGTTCAATGTCGTCTGATTCATAGCTTGTCTGTGGATCACGTGTATCGCGTGGCGCTGCTTATCTTATCGTACCTCTAAACATACCTTATTAGTGCCCGGTGCTTAGTGGCGGGCACCTGCCTCCTGCCTGCTGTGATTGTCATGGACCCATGGAAACTGCCCCAAAGGCGTCTAGCAGCTCCAGCATCGTCCAGATCCAAGCTGCGTACTAATAGTAAACCCTTCGTCTACACCGACCAACACCGAACCAATAAACACGCAATTTATTATCTATTGAGATTCAAGCTCTATGAACCACGCCTTTCCTCGTTCTCTCAGCCCGTCTGCCATGATTCTTCGACAGACCTCCATCGAGCGACGATAGCGAGCTCCTGAGCTCTCGATACCTTTTCTCTCCATCCACCTTCCATCACACCGCTGCCACGATACCGCCCACCTCTTCTCCGCCATGGGCCAGGGCTACTCGCTGACGACGCCGTCGGCGGGGTCGGCCGGCATCGACGTCCCCGAGCTCGGCGACCTCGTCTACGAGAAGTCCATTGGCATCGCGCGCTTTATGAAGAGCATCCGCGCCCGGCACCACGACGGCGTCGTCCTCGTCAAGGTGCTCGTCAAGCCTTATACGCCCATGACGCTGGCTGTCTACCGCGACCGGCTCGTGCGCGAACGGCGCATCCTGGCGGACGTGCCCAACGCGCTCGCGTACCAGCGCATCGTCGAGACGGACACCAACGGGTTTCTGGTGCGGCAGTTTCTGTACAACTCGCTCTACGACCGCATGAGCACGCGGCCTTTTTTGGAGGACATTGAAAAGAAGTGGCTCGCGTTCCAGCTGCTGTGCGCGCTGCGCGACTGCCACGCGCGCGACGTGTACCACGGCGACATCAAGACGGAGAACGTGCTGGTGACGTCGTGGAACTGGCTGTACCTGACGGACTTTTCGTCGGCGTTCAAGCCGGTGCTGCTGCCCGACGACAACCCGGCGGACTTTTCGTATTTTTTCGACACGTCGGGGCGGCGGACGTGCTACCTGGCGCCGGAGCGGTTTGTGCCGTCGGCGACCGCCACAGCAGCGGCGGCAGCCGAGGGGGGCGAGGCTGACGATGCCGAGGAGGACAGTCCGGTTTTGGACGATGACGACGACGACAACGACAACGACAACGGCGAGCACGAGCACGAGCACGAGCACGACCACACCAGACAACCACATAGACAACCACACAGACACCGCGGCCGTCGACGCCGTGCTGCACCGCCGGGCACGCCGCCGAACCGCATCACATGGGCCATGGACGTGTTCAGCGCGGGCTGCGTCATCGCGGAGCTCGTGCTGGAGTCGCCCATTTTCAGCCTGAGCCAGCTGTTCCGGTACCGCCGCGGCGAGTACGACCCATCGGTGGCGCACCTCGGCCGCATCCAGGACCGCGACCTCGCCGACATGATTGCGCACATGATCCAGCTCGACCCGCAGAAGCGGTACGCGGCCGAGGAGTACCTCGACTTTTACCGTGGCAAGGTGTTCCCCGACTACTTTTACTCTTTCTTGCACCAGTACATGGAGGTCATCACGGACCCGGTGGCGGCGCACTTTTCGGCGTCGGGCGCGTCGCGCAACCTGGGCGAGGCGGACGAGCGCATCGACCGCGTGTTTTACGACTTTGACAAGATATCCTACTTTTTGGGGTTCCAGGACGACGCTGCGGCGGGGGCGGCAACAACAACAACAACAACGACAGACGAGTCCAGCATGGCAACACGGGCACCCCGCCTGGGCCTCGGCCTGTTCCCTGTGCGCCTCAGCATTCCCACCAAAGAGCACAGTGTTCGCGCCGGCGCCGAGCCCACGGCGGACAACGGCGCGCTCATCTTCCTGACGCTCATCGTGGCGTCGATCCGCAACACGGCGCGGGCGGCGTCCAAGATCCGCGCGTGCGACGTGCTGCTGGCGTTTGCCGAGCGGCTGACGGACGAGGCCAAGCTGGACCGCGTGCTGCCGTACCTGATGGCGCTGCTCAACGACCGCGCCGAGATGGTGGTGGTGGCGGCGGTGCGGTCCGTGACGCAGCTGCTGGCGCTCGTGCGCACAGTCAGCCCCGTCAACGCGCACGTGTTTTTGGAGTATATATTGCCGCGCATGCAGGCGGCGCTCCTGGGCAGCGCGACGACGACGGCCAGCGGACGCGAGGCCAGCCCGGTGGTGCGCGCGACGTACGCGGCGTGTCTGGGCACGCTGGCGACGACGGCCCGCCGGTTCCTGGAGATGGCGGCGCGGGTCGACCGCATGGTGGGCGTGACGGACGGCGACGCCGACGTGGAGGGGCCCACGGCGGCTCTGCCAGCGCTCTCTCCTGCCGGCCGGAGGAGCAGCGACGACAACAGCGACGACCACATGGACGACGGCCTGTTTGACGCGGCGCAGCGCGAGCTGGTCGACCTGTTTGAGCTGCACACCAAGGCGCTCATCGAGGACGCCGACCCCTATGTGCGGCGCGCGTTCCTCACGTCGGTGCCGGCGCTGTGCCTGTTTTTCGGGGCGGCCGACGCCAACGACATCATCGTGACGCACCTCAACACGTACCTCAACGACCGCGACTGGATGCTCAAGTGCGCGTTTTTCGACACGATTGTCGGCGTGGCCACGTTCCTGGGCAGCGCGTCGCTCGAGGCCTTCATCCTGCCGCTCATGGTGCAGGCCCTCGCCGACCCCGAGGAGCACGTCGTGCAGGCCGTGCTGCAGGCGCTGGCCGAGCTGGCCGACGTCGGGCTCTTTGCGAAGCCCGTGGTCTGGGAGCTGGTCGAGGCCACGGCGCGCTTTGCCGTGCATCCCAACCTGTGGATCCGCGAAGCGGCCGCGCGGTTCCTGGCCGCGGCCACCAAGTTCCTGTCGCCGGCACAGATCCGCTGTCTCTTCCTGCCGCTTGTGGCGCCCTACCTCAAGCCGCCGGGCCTCCTGCTCCCTCCGTTTTCGAGCTCTTCGAGTCTTTCGAGTTCATCCCGTTTGTCCGGTGCCGGCGCGTCGTCGCCCGAGCTGGTGTTGCTGGACCACCTCCAACGGCCGCTGTCGCGCGCCGTGTTCGACCAGGCCGTCAACTGGGCCATGAAGGCTGACCGCGGCGCGTTCTGGAAGCCCGTGCAGAATCTGCGGGGGTTCCCGTTTGGCATGTCGGCGTCAGCGTCGTTTCCGTCACCCGCAGCAGCGGCGGCGGCGGCAGCGACGGCAGGAACAGCGACAGGTGGTCTGGGGGGCGCGGGCGGGTCTGGCGGTGGCCATGCGACCGGCCGGTTCGTGGTCCCGCGCGCGCTGAGCAAGGTGGCGCGCAACGAAGAGGACGAGCAGTGGATCAACCGGCTGCGCAACCTGGGCCTCGCGACGGACGACGAGTTCAAGCTGCTGGCGCTGCGCGAATTCATCTGGCGCCTGAGCCGGCGCAAGATGCACGAGCAGCACGCGTATGCGGACGGCCCGGCGTCTGGGGGCGACCCCAACCTCAACAACATTGTGCCGCTGCGCAGCCTGGGCATCACGCCGCAGACGGTCCTCTTTGACGAGGAGCCGCAGAAACAAACCCACCTGGCCGTCCCACCGCCGCCGCCTGCTGCCACCCTCCCCACCAACAACAACACGCGTCTCCCTGGCGAGTCGCCCCGCTCGATCGAGGACGCCCTGCACGACGCGTCCATGACGATTGACGACCCGGTGGCCAAGCGCCGGCGGGCCGCCCTCAATGTGCACCGCAACCGGCTGGGCCACCACGACCACCACGACCACCGCCACGGCAGTGGAGCGTCGCCCTCGCCGGCCGTGCGGGACGGCTACTTGACGGCCGCCTCGCCGACGACGACAGGCAGCAGCCGCACCAACAGTCCACAGCGGGCCGTGGCCGGGTCGCCCACCACAGGGGTCGGCGACGACGACGCGGCGTCTCTGCGGTCGCTGCAGGTGGCGCTGTCGCCGCCGGTGAGCAACGGCGGTGGTGTTGGTGTTGCGAGCGCTCCCGGACCCGCATCGTCGTTGCGCCACCGGCCCAGCGCCATTTCCCTGCTGAACCGCAAAGACAGCGCCGCGCACAAGAGCAGCAAGAGCGGCGCGGCCGAGACGACGACGACGGAAGCCAATGCCTTTGGGCAGGTCGAGGGCCGTTCGGCGTTCAGCGGCCGCGTGGCGTCGCGGTCGCCCGTGCCGTCCGACGACCCGAGCGCGAGCGAGCAGGAGCAGGATGAGCTGGGGTCGCCAGCGGCGGCGGCGGCATCGTCGGGATTGGCCGCCAGCGGCAGCCGGTACCGCGCGCACCACACGTACAGCGGAAACGACCCGAGCGTGCTGCGGATGCTGGACGCCATGTTTGTGGACAACTACCCGCACGACGTGGCCGAGTTTAGCCCCCTGGTGACGCCCCTGTCGCGCAAGAAGGCGACCGCCGCGGCGCCCACGGCGTCGTCGACCAACAGCAGCAGCGGCGGGAGACGCGCGGCGGCCGACGTGTGGCGGCCCGCGGGCCGGATGGTGGCGACGTTTTCGGAGCACGCGGGGGCCATCAACCGCGTCGTGGTGTCGCCGGACCACGCGTTTTTCCTGACGGGCGGCGACGACGGCACGGTGCGCGTCTGGGACACGCAGCGGCTCGAGCGCAACATTGCGCACCGGTCGCGGCAGGTGCACCGCCACGCGCCGGGCGCCCGCGTGCTGGCGCTCTGCTTCATTGAGAACACGCACTGCTTCATCAGCTGCGCGAGCGACGGCAGCGTCCACGTGGTCAAGGTCGAGTACGCGGTGCCGTCGGCGGCGTCGTCGGCAGCAGCGCCGTCGTCGACATCCGCGCCGTCGACATCGGCTCCCAGCAGCAGCAGCAGCAGCATGCCGCGCTACAGCCGGCTGCGGCTGCTGCGCGAGTACCAGCTGCCGCGCGGCGAGTGGGCCGTCTGGTGCGACCACTTCAAGCAGGAGGCCAGCTCGGTGCTCGTGCTGGCGACCAACCGGTCGCGCGTCCTGGGCATCGACCTGCGCACCATGACGCTGCTGTTTGCGCTGGCCAACCCGGTGCACCACGGCACGCCGACGTGCTTTGCCGTGGACCGCAAGCGCAACTGGCTCGTGGTGGCGACGTCGCACGGGGTGCTGGACCTCTGGGACCTGCGGTTCAAGATGCGGCTCAAGGGGTGGGGGATTTCCGGCGGCGCGGCCGGCGCCAGTGCGGCCACGGGCGGCGGCACGGCGGCGTCGCCCATCTACCGCCTGGCGGTCCACCCGTCCAAGGGCCGCGGCAAGTGGCTGTGCGTCGCCGGCGGCACGGGCCAGGGCGGCGAGGTGACGGTGTGGGACCTCGAGAAGACGCTCTGCCGGGAGGTGTACCGAACGGGGGCGGCCGCCGCCGCTTCCACGTCCAGCACGGCCACCAAGAACCTGTACGAGCCCTGGGACGTCGACGAAGACCGGCCCGAGGGCATGCTGGGCCGGTTTGCCACGAGCATCGACCCGGCCACCGTGGCCAACGGGGGGACCCCCGCGGCAGCGGCAGCGGCGACGGCAGCGGGTGTCGCGCCAGGCACAACCGGCGACAAGGGCGTGCGCGCCATGGTGGCCGGGTCGTCCCCGGTCGACGATCAGAGGGATGTGCGGCACGCGTTTCTTGTGACGGGCGGCAGCGACCGGAAGCTGCGGTTCTGGGACCTGTGGCGGATCGAGAACAGCACGGTGTACAGCGGCCAGGACGAAGGGGGGATTGGGGCGCATGGTGGTGGCGCCGGAGGGAATGCGAGCACGGCGGCCCACGCGGCCCACGCGGCCGGCCGCTCGACGTTTACCGCCACGCAGGTCACGACCGCCATGGCCGTCAACACCGAACGCCCGCCGCGGTCAGCCGGCGGGGCGGGCGGCGTGGCCATGACGCCAAGCAGCTCGAGCAAAGGACGCAGCACGGGTGGTGCTGCTGCGACGGGTGGCGGGACCACAACAGCCGCCACTGTCGCCGCCGACGCCGTTCCCCGGCTGTCGCGCGCGACCGTCATTGCCGCGCAGCAACAGCAGCTGCTGCGCAGCCACCTGGACGCCATCACGGACGTGGCGCTGCTGGAGAGTCCGTACATGGCGACGGTGTCGGTGGACCGCATGGGCGTGATTTTTGTATTGTCTTGAGGGCTGTGGGTGTGGATAGTGTGTTGTTGTGACGTGTTGTTGTGACGTGTTGTCATGACGTGAATCGTCTGTCCAGCGTCGACGGTCAACCGTGAAACGAACTGTGCTGTCGAGAAGGTGCAGAAGAAGGGAAGAGAAAAAAAAAAAAAGAATAACGAAATATCATGAGAAAAGACAAATCGGAAAATCAGAATAGATGATCTTTGCTGTCTGCTCTATTTTCAGCATCTGAGCTCGATGACTGCAGTAGACAATGTTTTGCTTTCGCGATATGTACCTTGTTTCAGTTCACTCTGTAAGACTGAAAGAAACGACCATCATATTGATATTGACTCGCGGCTTCTTTACGGGCTGTTGTCCATTGTCCCCTGTGCTTTATGATGCCATTGTTCATCCCAGGAAACCAACGACAGCTCAACTAGAATAACGGATAGTGAAAAGATTTACAGTGAAAAGACTTGCAGTGTTTGACATATAGAGTGCAGCGTAGAGTCCGCTCGTTGTCGCATCGCCACTTTCTCGCTCTTGCCTGTTTCTTTTTTTTTTTTTTTTTTTAACCCCCAGACTGTGTTTACTGGTCGCCTACTTTTTCCATTTCCACCTCCCGTCTTGCTGGGTTTCTGGGCCGTCTTTTACGTTTGCCAAGTCCAGGCCTCGGCAGACTTTCCCCTCACTTCTGTCATTATTTACCTATTTCCTATTTATGCTACAGCACACAGATAAAGCTGTAGCACCAACTCACCGACTGTGCACTATGCCCAGTCTCTGGTCCACCTACTTGACCCGCCGTCCTGGACCGCCCGCAGCAGAGCCCTGAGCACCCAACACAACTGCCGTCGACATGGCCGCGATCACGTAGCATTTCGATCACGTAGCCATTCACACGGAATCACGGAATGCACCGAGACGGGTTGTGTGCCTCGACGGAGTGCCCTTTCTAGTATGCCGTACTTGATCGCCACAGGTCTTTTGGTGAGGCCTATAGTCATTGCTTTCTTTCCGTAGTCTTTTTCCATCTGCGTGCGTCTTCCAGCAGTCCGATCTCCAAGCATCCTCAACGTCCACAAATCTGTGTCGGCTGGCCATCGAATATTGTAAAATCTTTGTCCCCGCCGCTCTCCCCGCTGCGGTCCGCTTCCGTCTAGTCGACGGCTCATCTAGTCCTAGTCCTAGTTCGCTTTGGCTTGGTTTATGCATCGCCAAACATCACCTTCGTCTTGTTGGCTGTCAGAAAAAGCGATGTGCATATCTTCCCCTCCTTTGCACTTCTTTCGCCTATCGTTTTGTCCCCCCTCCCCTGCATCCCCTCTCTGTGTTATCCACTCTGTCGGGACGGCTACACCGGAACGGTCCATGTGGTCTTGCGTCGTCGCCTTTCACGATTTCTTTTCATTTTTGGTTCCTCTATGTTTTGTTTCCTTTTTGTTATGTTTCTTTTCTTTCCCGTTTACATTTCACACTCTTATTTCAATCCCCTCCCTTTTCTTCCCTTAATTCTTTCTTCCCCCCATTCCCATCCAATCGTCTCTACTCCCCATGGACGGCATCAACGATACGGCCGACACGGCCGACGCCGCCAGCTTTATCGAACCGGCGTCGGCCTCCGACGACAACGCCTCCATCGGTACCACCGACCACCTCGCCATCACCTCCGACTACGATCCCACTCTCCACCACCACCGCACCGCCACCAGCACCACCGCCGGCGCCTCGCTCGTCGGCTCCCTCACCGACAGCGTCACCGAACACGTCTTTGAAAACGGCCGCCGCTACCACCGCTACAAGTCCGGCCGCTACCCCATCCCCAACGACGACATGGAGGCCAGCCGCGAAAACGTGCGCAACGCCTTGTTTTCGGAACTTCTCGGCGGCCAGCTGCACCTGGCGCCCCTCGCGCGGCCGCAGCACATCATGGACGTCGGCACCGGGTTCGGCGACTGGGCCGTCGAGGCCGGCGACCGCTACCCGTCGGCCCGCGTCGTCGGGCTGGACCTGTCGCCCATCCAGTCCGTGTGGATCCCGCCCAACGTCGAGTTTGTCGTCGACGACGTCGAGGACAATGCCTGGATCCACGGCAGCGACGTGGACTTTTTCCATTTCCGCATGGTGGCCGTCGTCCTCAAAGACCCGGCCGCCGTGGCCCGCACCGCCTTTGCCAACCTCCGCCCGGGCGGCTGGATCGAGTTTCAGGAAGTGTACCCGCGCATCGCCTGCCAGGACGGTGACGATGACGGCGGCGGCGGCGACGACGACAACAACAACAACAACAACAACAACAGCACGCGTCCTCCCGGCGCCGGTGACGACTACGTCGTCGCCCGCTTCTACCGCCTGGCCGCCCGCGTGCTGCGCCGCCGCTACGGCTGGGACCTGTTTGCCGCCGGCCACCTGCCGCGCCAGCTGCAGGACATTGGCTTTGTCCGCGTCCAGCGCCGCGTCTGCCACGTCCCCATCGGCTACTGGCCCAAGGACCCGCGGCGCATGCAGCAGGCCTTTCTGCTCGAGGAGACGCTGACCGAGTTCATGGCGGCCATGCAGGCGAAGCCCTTCAGCGGCGGCATCGACCTGGCGGCCGACGAGGGCGAGGACGGCGGCGCGCGTGTCGTCATGTCCGCCGACGAGGTCGACGCGCTGTGCCACGAGGTCCGCGCCGCCCTGCGCGCCAAGCACGTCCATGCCTACATTCCCTTTCACTTCATCTGGGCCCAGAAGCCAGAGCAGCCGCCCAGTGGCTGAGCGGAGGGAAGAAAGGGGACAATTGAAACGAACAAAACAAACAGCACTGAACTGCACACCTCGCAAAAACAGCGACCAGACAATTAAACAGACACAAAAAGACACCAAGTCTGAACCCACCACAGGGTCTGTCTGTCACGCAGAGTCAAAAGGCCAACGCATGGGCTTGGATCACACCAGAATACCCAAATCGCCAGGTATCCGACACCCATCCTACCGCTCACCCCGCAGAGTCAAGGAGGGTTGCAGCCAGATCAAATATTGCACATAGCTCCTTTGGGCGGCACGGAAAGAGAGTCTGCTGGATGGGCAGGCAACCCCAAAGCCAAGGAGGGGCGCAGTGGAACAAGTCGAAAGAGCCAGCGGCCGTTACACAGCAGGAAGCCAATGCAGCTACTGCTGATACTGTTGCCACTCTGCATCGTGATGGGGTGTTTGTGTAAACGGCCTTGGGAAAGGCGGTTCACGAGGCAGCGGGGCAGTTGGAATGCCCAGTGAGCCAAGTCGTATCTCGATGTCTCGATCGCGCTCGGAAAGATGTGCCACAGCCAGACACAGAAGCTCGTCGTTTGCTTGCACTTCTCGCAGGAGCACGAAACAGAAAATTCAAGTATATTTCATACCATAAATTATCCAGAATACCAAAATTCAAAAACCATAACCAAGAGTGTCAAAATATGGCTGGACGTTAGCATCCATGGCAGACAACGGCGCCGCCCGGACTCGGCCAACCCCTAAGGCTTCCGCCCGTAGGTCACGTACAGGTCAAAGTACGTGTGGTAGCTCGAGTTGCTCATGTCGTACCGCACCTCTGCCGCAAACGTCTTGACGTCGTCCAGGCTCCAGCCCAGGAACCGCGTGCACAGCGCCAGGCTCATCGACTCGACGCCGCCAACAAAGTTCTCGCGCACGAGCCCGCCGAGCTCCTTCATGCGCTCGTTCTTGGGCCACCGTCCAATCGGCCACTTGTACGGCACGCGCACAATGTCCACGAACCCGACCTCGCGCATAAAGTCGGCCGCCTTGCCGCACGTGTTGAGCAAGAACCCGGCCTTCTTGCTGGCCTCCATCATGACGTCCGTCCACTTTTGCAGGGCGCTGCCGGGTGGCAGGGATCCGTCGGCGCAGCGAAGGGGGAAATCAATGTCCTGGATTTCGAGCCAGCCATCCTTGTTGAGGAATCTACCCATGTTAGAAATGATGACACACACCAATTGTTTTCATCATTTGGGGCGAGGCGAACGTACTCAAATGCCTGCCTGTAGAAGCCTGGCCAGTCACGAAAGGCACCGGTCATCATCAAGGAGTGGATGTAGTCAAACTTGTACGCAAACGTCCACTGCTCCTCCAAGTCGTCGATTTCAAACGACGCATTGGACGGGGTGCTGTGCCGTGTCAGCTGTTTCTCTAGCACTACTGATACTGGGCAGGGGTGGCGTATTTACTTACTATCGCTGGACAGGGGACAAGTCGACTCCGATGACATGCGCTTCGGGGTGACAGTCGGCTTAGGCAAAACGTTAGCAACACCTTTGAACTCACATATTCACAGACCACTCTAAAAACGTCTGCTTACCAAAATCAATGACCCAGTGGCCAGGCCCGCAGCCGGCATCGAGGACTCTGTTGACCTTGGTGAGGGGGGCAAAGGAAAGCGCTCCAAACGTGTAGAGGCACAGGGCGTACTGATACTCTGCAAAGGTGTTAGACGAATGAGACAAGAAATTTGTGTGGCTTGCGTGCTATGGCTACAAGTACGAACCCTGGCGTTCCAGCTCCTCCTGCAAACAAGCTGTATTAGTCGCACAGTAGTTACAAGGAAGGATGAAGAGCTGACCCAGCTTACATCGTCAGTGGGCAAAAGGTATTTGCCGTCCTTGAAGCCATGGTACTTGCGACCATTTTCATCGCGGGGGTTGATGAGACTCGACCGAAGAGACGCGGTAGACGAGAAAACCGACATGCCCTATGATGTGCACACAATTCATTAGCAGCGACAAACAAGGTGGCCTTACAGTCAGTCCGTACGAAATTAACATAAAAATAATAAAATAAAATAAATGCATTTCAAACCTCTTTCTCTCTTTCTCCGGTTCATCGGACACTGCGCCACGACGAGAGCGGGCATGCGTGGGGGGGATTCTCAAGTCTACTTACATCGCCCAAAGCGGAGTCCGTGTCGGTGTTGTCAGCCGACAACTACGGCCGAGTTAGCTCCTGGACCGGCCAGCACAAATCAAAATGTATGTTTTTGGTCGTACTCACATCACTGTCAGGCTCCAAGAGGAAAGCCTCATCGTCATCGTAGTTCTGCTCAGACATGGTTGCTGCTTGTTTCTGAATGAGCAGTCACAGCTGCGAGTATGTAGAAATTGTAAAATAAAATAAAAGTGGTGGCTATCAGAAAGGCTCCAAAAAAGGTAATCAACGGTGAAGGGGATAGATCGTCGTGGTGTCGGAATGAGTGAAGCAGCAGCGGCTGCTATGCCTTGGATGGACGCTTCCAAACAAGGTCGGTAACCGTGGAGTCGTTAGATGGAGACGGTGGGTAAGAGAGCTTAGCCACTCAAAAAGCAAAATATGTGATGACTCGGCTGTGATGAGATTGAAAGAAAACAGAAAGACGCAAGAGAATCCCGTGTTGCGTCTGTCCTGAGAGCGGATGTCGATGTTCTTATGTACTCCTTTGTCCAACCTGTTACTATCACTCTTGCTCTCTCGCCTGTTACACAAACGAGAACATATGTTGCCGGCAAGACAAGATGAGAAGATTTGGGCAAGAAAGGTGGAGGGGCCGCCCGTTACCGTGGTGCTCAGGACAACATTTGCTGTAGAAGAAACAGATAACGAGATGTCCGAAGGCTGCTGTTGTGATGAGAAGCGAGAGACGGTGGTTGGCTCGGTTCGGGTGAAACCATGGTCGCCGGGGCGTAGCAGCGGCGACGACGGACAGTAGCAGACGTAGTGGAAGAAGCAACACAAAATAGAGAAAGTATAGACGGACACGAGATGCCGCATATGAAGCAAATGCAGCAACAGTAGGACGAGATTCGAGCGGGTTTCGGTGGGCAGCCTAGACAGGAGTACAAAAGAAGAGGAAATGAGGAGACAAGGAAGCAAAGCCGACGGCGACAAAGAGCATGACAAGAGGACACGGAACGAACGAAGCGCAACAAGAAAGGAAGCGAAACAAAACAGGAAATTTAGACGAAACATACAGCAACAAAACAGTCACAAAAAGTCGAGAGCTCAGATTTCTTCAACAGCAGCAGCACCACCATTGGTGGGGTTGCATATAAGCGATAGGCGGACATACGGTCAATAGCGAATCGAGTAGCACAGACACCTAGGCCTAACTGTCTGATAGCAGCCATACTCCCCTGTTTCCTTGAGTTATACCTGCCGCTGCGTTCATTGCCGAAGCATCGTCGTGCTCCGTTTGTTGTCGTTGGTGTTCCGCGATGCTTATTGTGCCGGGTACAGTGTGTAGCGAGTACGAGCGCAAAGGTTCGATCCAGAATATGGAGGCTATGGAGGCTGCTGTGGAACGTTGTTTGAGACTTGAGAAAGCAAGATGACAGTCCGCACGTCCGCACGTCCACACGTGGAAAAGAAAATAAAGGGGGAGAGACGAGAATCAAAGAGATTAGGATGGATATCGTGGAGCATGGCTGACGTGGTTGGAACTATAAGAATTTCAAGTATGTCAATGTGATGATGAGAATATCACAAACCCTGTAAAACTGTTGGGCAACAGAAGAACATGACGATAGAAATGATAAATGACTCGTCAGAGACTGAAGGGTGCGCAGCACCATATAGACGAGCGCAATAGTCGCCGCATTATGCAGCCTCTGGCCGCAGATGTGCGGCTGAGCAGTTATTTTCTTCGTCGTGACGCCGTTGGTGACAAGAGAGTTTGAATTGCAAGATGTCTGGCAGGCAAGGGCGGGCGAAAGTGCTGGCGAGAAACGGGAGACAGACTGGCGCAAAAGCACGGAGCACGGAACGAGAGTGAAAAGAAGGGAAGCGACAAAATACAAAGGATTAAGCGAGAAAACCCGACTGAAGCGAGCACGAGCCAGACGAGGAGCTGTCAACGCCCGAATGTGATCTATCGCGAACGGTGGACAAGACTGAGCTGCGCCGTTTGTCGTAACGCGGCTGTGGGCAGCCAGCACACAGAGGACCGTGGTTACGAAAAAGAGAGGAGAGAGAAAGATAGAACGATGGCGATCATGGGCAATTGGAAGATGGAGAGGAGAAGATCCAACGGCCAGGAAAGAAGACCTCAAGGGGTCAACCTGGCAAAGACTCAAAACACAGAAGGCACGTTGGCTCGTTGGGTTGCACTTTCCGGTCGATGCCATACCAGCTTCTTTCTGGTCAGGAAGGAACTACCTTGCAGCTGCATTCTTAGCGTGCTACGCCGAAAACGCACCCCTACAACCACAAGAAACCGCACAAGGCAGCTGTTGGCGACTTCAGCGTGTACGAGTAAGCAAACCCCTGTACAGGTTGCAGCGCAACCGGTACCATTCGCAGTTGCCCAGTTCGTTCTTGCTGCACGAGATCCTGTGCCCGTCCAGGAAGGAGCGGGATGATGATTGTGACCAGCAGATGCGACCTAGAAGAGGGGGAGGGGAATAGGACAAAAAGAGAACAAGAGCATGACAAGACAGCGCAGTGAAAAGTGAGAGAGACGAGACGAAAAACATACAGGCCGAAGATATCACAGGCCAGATCACCAGAAAAAGCAACGAGGCCGGCGGAGAATGACATTTTGGAGGCAGGCATAATGCAAGGCAGGCACGGGGCTGCAAGGGCTCTTTCCAAATGTGTCGAACCTCTCGCGTGGTAGGAGATGTTATGGGAGGGCAAGAGCTATGGACGAGGGCAGAGGCAAGAACGACCATGTTGCAAGCTATACGATCCCCTTTAAGAAGGAGCACGCATCCCAACAGATGTCGTTTTGTCGGGTCAAGAGAACTCCTCTTTGCCCTCCTTTATTTAATTTCCCCTGTTGTCAAAGAACCAGAAACACCAGAGCGCCACGCCACGAGGACAATTTCCATCACGGCGTACAAAACATGGTAGGCCTGTCTTTTATGACACCCCAAGCTTGCCCCTTTGGACTGTTTGGACAAGACACCTTCTGTGAGCACCTGGACAGGACATGGCAAGTTTAAGTTTTGTGTAAGGAACACGCTTCTAGAAACACCTCGAGAGACGCTCAACACGGTTTTGTGAATCCATGGTTGATGCATTAATTCCCCTCGTCTCCGATCCGCTGTGATGTCTCCAGCCAGGTCCTAGACAGTCTCAAAGAGAACTTTGCATTTCCGAGGGTCAACGATAAGCTAACACCTGGCTGAGAGTGAGAGCATTGTGCTCATTCACGCGACCCGACTTGTGACCAGAAGACAGCTCCCACGTTGACGACATGATGTGTCCTCCGTCTTCCAGGCGGCGTCTTTCCGACAACCATAAATCTTTACTGGACACCAGAACTCACGTCGGGACCGCTGGTGCAGCCAATATATGCGGCAATATATGCAGCAAAAAGCAGGGCAACTAACTGGACGCCACAGCGAGCCATGAACATAAAGAAGAGGGGACATCTCGAATGCGAAAGGAGCAAAGGCCCATCTACGACAAAAGCGAGTCTGGTGGGGGACAGAAATAATATGTCTCGTGGAACAAAAATCGCTCTGGGTTGTTGCGGGCTCAAAGAGAATTTCGTGGCTGGCGTTGAGGGGAGGTTGTGTTCTCAAGGTTCGTCCTTTCTGCATGGAGTAATGCTCCTTGTCAAGCCTCGCTCTGGAAAGGCATGCAATGCAGCTCTAGCTCTGCCACTAATGTTCGTGCCCGCCCTGCCAGCAGAGGAAGTGGGCGGAACAGGACCCTATTGGGTCCCTCGCGAGTGCGGTTTACGTTTTTGCTAACCTTCGCAGGGTGCCTTTGGCAGCCTCGACTGCCTGCCAGCAACATGTGAACTAAGGTGTTGTTCATGAGAGCACAGAGGCACTGCGTCCCGACGAGTTTTGCGACAAATTGCTGCAGAATACGACGTACGACGACACAAAGAGGGTGTGGAGATGATCTTGGCCTGAGGGCCACGCTGTCAAATGGGCAACAAGTTACCCAAATGGAGCAAGCCACGCAAAGGGGGCTTCCACCTCCCCAAGCGTTAATTCTGCAGTCCGAAAAGTGGCATGCCCACTCGAGACTCGTGATCACACAGACCTCTGGAATGTCGCCATGAGAAGAGAGAGTTCAAGCACGCTGTGTCACATTGTCCATTGCACTGCAACTGTGTGTGCGGAGAACGGGAAGAAGCAGTCGGCAAATGGTGGCCTCTCGTTTGTCCATCTTCCTTTTTTCTCATTTGCCATTTGGGCATCGAAAATTGTGCAATCTTTGCTCTATGTTGCCTCGGGCAGCCAATCCCCTCCCATTCGAGTGCACTGATGGCCTTGTAAGCAACAGACAGTGTCACCCTTCAAAGCTATCCCGCAGTGGCCCGCTGTCCTCCCGCCTGGTACGCAACAATGTCCCAATGACCAAAGCATCGGAACCGGGACTGGCATAATTGAGGCGGGATGGTAAGACGGTTGTGGTTGGCAGCAATGCAAGAGAGGACTGCCAGACAAAACAGACAGACGTTTGACAGGAATCCGCCACAACTGCAGAATCGACAAACACGCCCCAACACAGGCGTCTCGTTCCCGGTTTTCGCAAAATAAATGGCAACCCTCAAATTGCACAAAAAGGGTGAATGCAGCCCTAAGTCACTGATGGTTTGTGTTTATCACCAAGCTGCACGGACACACACAAGACGAAACGCTAAGCACCTTTGAGCTCTTCGGCTGCAGCATTGCGGGACGGGAGCGGGGGCTATCTATTATTGTCTTATTCTGTCCTCCCTGTCTTTTCTTTTTGCCTCGTCTGCCCACCGCTCGTGGATCAAGACCAAGGGCTGTTTACTTATTTACCTCAGGCGAGCCCTGTCATATTTGGGAAGGTGATACCTCGGGACGGACTTGGTACACTGAAGGATACAAAATGAGCAAAGATGGACTGATGAGCCAGCTCCACAGAGGACATGCACAGAGGGTGACAGATGCCAAGGGAGGATGGAGGATGGAGGATGGAGTGACAACACTGGTCGTCGAGAAGCTGGCGGTGTCGACCGACACTGTTCGACGGGGACTAAGGATCGACGGCGGGTGACATGCTGCAAAGAGATGCGAAGGAGCCCCGTTCGGATAATGTGCAATGCGGAAGTGACGAAAAGGAGACGAGGAAGTGTGGCAACGCAATGGTTTTGTCTGGCATTCACTTCTGTGAGAGGAACAGCGTCGTTTGACTCACCTGTGTCTGTAGTCTGCAGTCTGCAGTCTGCAGTCTGCAGTCTTCACACCTCTTACAACGCTGCCACCGGCCCGCCTGCCTTTTGCAGCTTTCCGATGCACCGTCAAACCATCTAGGCTGCATCTAAACGACAGCCAAAGCCAAAAGGGCGCAGATTGTCGCGGACGCAAAAGCAAGAACGCGCACGAACACGCTGAGAGGAAATACAAACAATTGGTCGGCCGCCGTGCGTGGCCAGCTCATGCTCCTCGAAAGTCACTTCCTCATCCGATCACTTTCCCCTCCCTTGGTGCACTCACTCTGCACTCCGTCACCTTCCAGCCACTTCGCTCGCCCTGCACTCACTCAAGACTCGCAGCTGCTCATCACTTTAATCACCTTGCGTTATCAGTGTTTCAGTGGTCTGGTTCCCAGTGGTCAGGATCGCTTCGTCGTGTTCACGCACGGGTCAGCTCGCGGGGAAAGAAGAGAAGGTATTAAGGGCGCGTATTCTCCTCCTTGATTAACACACCTCCTTCTCGTCGAAGGTGGCTGTCCAACGCCGGATTTTGCTTGAGTTTGTACTTTTTTCGTTTGTTTTAT